TGCATGTGCAATCTCAGGGCCCCACAGCCTCTCTCTTCTCGAAGAGAGTCAAGCACGGCGCTGAAGAGGCTGGAGATCTATCACGTAGGATGTGGATGAGAAAGAAAGGAAAGCAGACACACTCTCTGACCCGGGGCTGGTCTTGAGGACTAAGGGTCCTCACCTGGCAGCACACATCCATCACCCGCCCCCAGAGCGGGGGTGGGGGAGAGGCACACTGTTCCCCAGGAGGTTCCACCCAAAACAAAAAATCTGGCCTCACATGCTGGGGTGGGAGGTAGTAGGCGTCTCCTTGGAGATCTCCGTGAATCATAGCAAATGGGCGAGTCATCGTCCTCCAAGAATCCTTGGGGGTGATGGTAGCCTCGGGGCCTCTCAAAGTCCACGTTTCTGCCTGGGTATCTGCTGTAGTAGCCATAGTTTTGCCTGGAGGTCAGAGAAGAGGGCAGTAAAGTTCTAGGTAACAAGCTCTGTCACTCAACCCTGCCAGACTGACATCCATGCTCCTCTCCCCACCTCCTCCCTTGGACACAGTAGGACTGGCTGAGGACAAGGCTGGCTTCAGTTTCATGGAAGATTCCAGATGGAGAGCAAGGGCCATTACAGGAAGGTTGGGGACTGGAGGCCTGTGCTGAAGGATGTGCTGGCAGTTTTGATCCCTCAGCTCCAGGGCAAACGTGGATTGCAGATGTCCTGTGAGCCAGTCTCTCACCCACTCATTTCCTCCGAGAGCCCCTCTCCTGAGCGCCTTCCCTCTGCCAGGAACTGGGCACCAGGGACACCAAGATGCATGAAGCATGAGCCCCACCCTCAATGGGCTTAGAAAATGCCACGAGCACAGAGAAATCGAATGCAAGCTGGAAAAAGCCAGTGCTGGAAGAGAGGAACTCATATGGTTCCATGAGGTTTTCTTTCTGGGGGGTGGGAGAGGGATTTCAATTCCAGTCATGGAAACAAAAAGCAAGGCCCTAGAGCAGACCCTCGAGAGGGGGGATGAGGCCAGCAGATGGAGTGAGGGCATCCAAGCAGGCGCCAGTGTGAACAAAAGCCCTAGAGAAGGGAACACAAGTTCCTTTGGCTCAGAGTCAGTGGTTTCAGAAGTCAGGCATTTGAAGGAGACACAGGGAAGAGCCTCGGGAGCAGAGGGCGGAGGGTGATTTTCATCCGCCTGCTACGCCTCCTAAAGCAGAGTGCTCATTCTAATTACAAACATTCTTTCTGCAGGACAGAAGCCAGACGGACCCCTCTGCTGAGTGACCCCTTGTTTCTTCATCTCCCCAAGAGACCCCTTGAAGTGACAGGAGGCAGGTGCTGTGCATGAGGACCTGGCCGAGCTCCAGGCTGGCCAAGCCGCTGTGCACACAGAGCCCTGGGGCCACCAGAGCTCCAAGTGTTAATTCAGCAAAAACTGATCTCTCCAAAGACAGGGGGTGGTGGAAAGGCACTAACCCAGCCATGAAGCAGGCCCAGCTCCCATTTCCCAAGCTGTCACTAAAAAGCCTCAGAGGCCCCTAGTGGAAATAAGCAACAGGTCTGAAAGAATAGTCCCCACCCTGCCTCTCTGTGGTTCTCTTTCTCCAGCTCCACTCTCCCTCTGGCCTGGAGTTTCTGCTCCCGTTTTGCTTTTTTAGGGGAAGCCCAGTGCAGCTGCCGGTGGCCCTGGCTTCCTGAGCAGGCAGAGCACCAGGGCAGGGTGGCCTCCTGCTCTCCACAGGAGCCAGAGCAGCTCACCTGCTCCAGGTGGGCGAGCTGTCATCCTCATAGCACTCCTCGCTACTGAAATACTCCTGCTCCCCGAAGCAGCGGGGGTCCCTGAAATAGCCATGTATCTCTGGGTCTTCCCGGCAAATAGTTGGGAGCTGTTCATCTCCTGAGTCGGACCTGCAGGCGGGAGAGAGGATCTGAGAACCTGGGCAGGCGGCAGATAATTCCTGCTGCAGCCGCACCTCTGCATGTGGCCAGCAACCCTGCCTGGGTGCTCCTCACTTCTCCCAGCATGCACCTGCCTCAGGCAGCACTGGACTGCTCAGGCTTCTGGCAACGGCAATGTGTGTCTGTCTGTGTGTGTGGTGTGCCTGCATGCCAGGATAGGGTCTCTCTCAGTGCCCTGCACAATGTTGGTGTCAAACCATTGTGTCCAGAGGCCTTGGAGCCAAAGGAATAGGTGCAATTCGGAGAACAGAACAAAAAAATGGACCTACGATGCTGCAAACAGTGGTCGGCGGCCCCGGGAAAAAGACCTGGGTTCCCAGGGCATCTGCTCTGATCCCTCCCTCTCCTTCTAGTCCCCCAGCTCCAGCCTAGTGTGACTTCAAAACCTGGAACAAAGGAGCTTCCTGGCCACCGACCTCTGCTATATCAAATCAGGAAGGTCACGTGAGTTCTGGATACAGTGCCACAGGGGAAACTGTCACAGAACATGTCCACCATGTTTCCACAGGCTGCCCTGCCCCAGGAATGTGGTAAGTCTCCCTGAAACCCGGCTCATGCTGGCTTCAGTCCTCAGAAAAGGCCTTGGCTAAGTCAATCCTCTCTCCAAAGGAAGGATGGTGCTTCCTCCGACTTCTCCACTTTTTTGCACCCAGCTCGGGCCCACATGGCTCCCGACTTCACTTGATAACATGACACCGGAAGAGCTATCCTCCCCTGGCCCCCAACAAAATGAGCATTCCAACCACGATTCAACTCAGGTCAATATGCGTGGAGTGGAATATACTACACATATCTCGAGGGCTTCAGGGAAAATGACAAGATCCCATTCCTGACCTTCGGGAGGTTTGGGTCATGCTGCAAAGCATCCACAAGAAGCCTGACTCCAGAGAGCAGCTGCAGCTGCCAGCCACACAGGCTGAGGCCTCCATAAGTGCACAATGGATGCTCCTAATGCCATTGTGAGGCCTGCAGGAGCCAGCCCATGGGGTGTACCTTGTGTGTGGACACCAGTCCTTGGATGGCAACAGTCGACAGAGATATGGATCTGAAGGTGCCTTTGCTTAGAAGCAACAACCTCTGACCTCTGAGTCCCCAGCCATGAATTATGATAACCTTTAACAGGCTGGCCTAAAGAAGTGTTTCTCATTCTTCAGCACTCAGAGAGGCCAGATGGTAACATACCATCACAGTATTTAACACGAAAACAGGTAATGAGCACATACCTAATGTAAGTTTCATAATAGCGGGTTCTATCCAGGAAAGGCATAACATGGGAAGGAGGGAGAAGATAAAAGTTAATTTCCAACCAAATTTACAATGCAAACATCAGGCTACCTCCTAGAGAAGGGGTTAGCAAATTATGATTTGCCATCCACATGGGGGCTGCCACCCGGGCTTCTATGACCCATGGGCTATAAACAGTTTTCATAGTTATAAAGGATTGAAAAAAATAAAAAAAAAATCCCAAGACAAAAACTATCTCATCATATGTAAATATATGAAGTTCAAATTTCAGTGATCATAAGGGAAATTTTACCGGGACACAGCCACACACCATTCACTTACATATTTCACACTGCAGCGGCAGAGCTGAGAAGCTGCAAGACTGTATGGTCCTCAAAGCCTAAAATATTGACTCACTGACCCTTTAGAGAAACAATTCACCAACCCCTGTCGCACAGTATGTGAGCACAACTGAGAGGCGGGTTTGTGGCTGCTGTTTTAAGGCCCCTCGGTGCCCCTATACAGGACGTAGGATGGCACGTGGCCCTTATCCTTTAGGTTCATCACGTGGAGAGTGTCAGAGGCGGCAATGACCTGGGGGGCACTCACAGATCCTGACACAAACGCCTACGGGGAACCTCCTCCATGCTCCAGAGCACAAAGGACAGACCCGCCTTGCTCCTTGGGACTAGAGGCAACACGGGTGGACACCACACGAGCAAGTGCAAACACACCGTCAAGGTTACCTTTTCACACTGGACCTTCTCTGAGGCTCCCGGTCATGCTTGTGGGAAGAATGATGCCCATTTTCAGACACATGCTCAAGGTTCCCAATGCTGGGCCGCTTTCCATGGGCAGCTTTGGACATATTGGCATTATTGAGATTGGCATTTGTTGAGGTGGGAACTTGCTTTCCTATGGAATTATGGTTATGATGGTTATGACACACCGAATTTCCTGCTGGAGGAAACAGCGGTTTCTCAGTATCACTTGCAGGTGGAATTGAAGGCCTTTGGACATGCAGGGGACGGTGGGTGGTATTGGTCTGCTGAAGGGAATCTCTCCTATCACTATTAACATGATTGACATGGTTTCCAAGCAGGGCACCATTTCTCTGCAAAATAATGGGAGACAACACCAGGTAATTTAACAAGTATTTGATGCAGACTAGCTATGTTAGGTAACTTTTTCTACATGAAAAACAAATTCTAGGCAAGTTCCGTAGGATCCCTGTAGAACAATCTGAGTGTCTTAATGATCAGGGTGAATGTGACTGTGTGGCAGTTGGTCCCCCCGAGATGAGGAAGGTTACCGATTTCCTGAGCTGGGGAGCAAGCTGTCGGCTGTCACTCGAGTGTGCTCTTCCGGTTGCTCCAAGTTGGGGTGACTTATACCCAGCTGGGCTGGCTGGTGGCCCCAAGGTTGGGCATGGTCTCTGGGCTGGGGGACTGAAAGCCAGCTGGTGGATCAAAGAGCTGGCCCCATAAGGAGAAGGGTAGTGTGGGCAGCTGCCAGAAGGACCCAGGACCAGGATGCTCGTCCACATGGCCAGTGGCTGTGGCCGAGCTCCTCAGAAGCAGGCACTGAGGGGAAGGTGGATAAACTCAGGGAAAGAGCTGGCCTGGCCCTAGAAGAGGTGCTGATGCATGGGGAGGGTCTGTAGGCAGGGGAGGGTGTGGTCTGAAAGCCCCTCTAGACCCTGGGGCTGGGCTGCATTCTCCAGACTCTTCCGTGGATCATTAACTGCCCAAACTGGAGTCCTGCCCTGCTATTTCCAGGTGGCCAGTGTGTAGCTAGGCGTGGAATAATTACTTTGAACACATCATCTTCTTCTTCTCGTTTTGTTTCCTCAGGCTCGTCATCTTGCAAATCACACGATATAGCACGCCGGATTTCTGGCCCAATGTCATGCAGTGTCCTTAATCCCGCCTAGATCAATGGAAATGGCAGAACAGGTTAGACCACACATGGGCCCTGGGGCCAGCCTGGGTCCTGGCTTTGCTCCTTCCTGATTCAGCGGTGGGGAGGAAGGCTTCCCCAAAAGCCAATCCAGGGCACTGACTGATGTCACTGAAGGCAGTCTAAGGGTTGCTGGTATGGTCAGGCATCCAGATGGTCAAGAAGGTCCTAGGTAGGATGCCTGAGGCCTGCAACCCAGTAACTTCCTTTGCAAATACCCCCACTTCCAAGGAACACTGCCTGGTTACTAGTGCTAGGGTCTGCCAAGCCAAGAGCTTATGTCCCTGTCTCAATGACAGTCTTCAGTAGGCTCACCTACAAGAGCCCAATCTCTCCAAGCCCAGAGCAGGGCAAGGAGCACAGCCTGGCCGATCTAAAGGGAGGGTGATATGGACTTCCTGGCTGCATCTAGGATGAGGAAGCCTAGGTGTAGGTGCCAGAGGCACAGGCAGACCAATCAGCCCTCGGGCCACTGGTTCTGCTAAAAAGCCATGGAACGAGTGAGTGACACAACACACTGCAACCACCAGCACACTCGGACCACGACGGAGCAGACTGACACGCACACAGACCCGGCCACCATGGTCATCGGGATACCCTGGCCTGTAGCCTGCGTGCAGGCTGAGAACTCACCAACAGGGGGTCCGCTTTTTGAAGATCACAACAAACTGAAAGTGGCTCATCAGCCTTTGCAGACAGTGCAAGACCCACCAGAAGACCCCACGGGGAGACCCCTCCGGGCCCCTCACAGACACTCTGCATCTCCCCTGGGGCCCTCACAGCTGCCTTCCTCACTGCGGTCCCTGCTATGTTGGGACAGGGCCCAGGAGAAGCCCTTCAATTGTTCACAGCTTCATTAGGGAAGCATTCCAAGATGCTTATGCACGGTGCATGGAGGAAGGGTCTGCTCCAGCTCTGAGAGAATTATGTTTTGACCACCAATTTGAAGAAAAACAGTATGCTGAGTTAAAGACTAATAGGGACTGCATGGCAACTTTAACCTTTTCCACCGAAAGACCTGCAACTGAAGAAGGCATGTCCTCTCTGCCCTGGGTCTAGGGTCCTATATCCAGGCAGCCCCTCCTCACTCACTGGCAGTCTGCCTACAGCTCCGTAGCCATAAAGGCCTAGAGAACAGCTAAGACACTGACTGTGCAGCAAATGCTTCAACTTCAGGGTGGTTTGTAAAGGAAAACTGGGCTAAGTGGTGGGTCCTCAGGGGAGGAGACCGCTTCCCTGTCCTTCCTCCACAACACCTGGTAGCATGTGGGCAGCTGTGGCAAGGACAGAGAGGCATGATGACCATCCCTGAGACATACACGTGGTAAAAGAGATACCCAGCAGTGCTTCAGGGAGGAGGAGGGGACGGTGGCCGCAGTCTGGCCAGATCCATCAGGGCTGGGTCTCACTGGTCTGGGGATGCTCAAAACTGGTCCTGTGCAGTTGCCAATGCCAGTGCTGGTGATGTTAATTTAGAATGTAAAGTCACACAGGAACTTCCTGAGATGCCCTTATAAAAACAGCCTGGTGCATAAAAGCACCCAGCCTTTGAGACAATTCTGCTAAAAACGGTGCCAGGTTGGGTTTGATTTGAGCCAATCTGTGAAGACAGAGCAGCAGATCTTTCCATTTAGTGAATTCTGAAGGTGAAAGAAGAGCCGGGAACGGAAGCTTTAAGCTTCCTGGCTAGGAATGCTGAGATCTTATAGGGGACAGACAGTCATGTCCCACATCAAACCAAGACAGTTCTTGGGGTGGTCAGTGAGGCTGCTTCTCGCTCTCCTGTCCCTCTGATCACAGGCTCAGGATGCATGTGTGTATGCTTGTGCATACACGTACATGCATTCACACACACACACACACACACACACACACACACACACACACACACACACTCTTTTCCCTCTCTCAGGATCCCTGAATTCAGCACATCTGAGCCTGGGAGGTCATTTGGTTCTGAGGTGGACCCACCTGCCATTCTCATGGAAACATCAAGAAGGTAACTGCAATGTTATGTTGGTAAAAGCTCTTACACAGCACAGCTGCAGGAATGTGAAGAAAGGTCATACCCAGCAGTACTCAACAGCCTGCATTTCATTCATTCAGTTTCCTAGGGTAAATTATTGAGGGATGATGAGCTAAGCAAGGGTTTCACTTCTGATTTTGGATCAACTGGGAAGAAAAGTCTGTTACATATCTAAGGCTCCCAAACAAAAAGACAAGGTTTGAGACACTTGCTGCTGCTTCCACAAAATAAACATAGGTTATAATGCACTCAAGTCAACACCCCCAAGTAAATTTGGTACATTAATCCATATTACAAGGCAGTAAAGGCCAGGAATGCTCCCAAGTTTAAACAACATATAATCCTATTTACTGTCATTCAACTGATTGGACTAGGTCTGATTAAAAGAAATAGAAAACTATTTATTTGGATAATTTTTAACATCATCCTCTGTTGACGGGTTGACATTTCACTGAAATACACATATAACATAATTGCATAATAGAAACAAAAACTGTCTCCAGCACATCTTCAGTGATACACAAGATTAGGATTCAGTCGACAAGATAGTGCAATGAACAGACATGGGACAGAGAATTTGTTTGCAACATAAATCATGGAGAAGGTTGAAAGGTGGCCCAAGTTGCCACTTCCAAAGACAAATAATGACAACATATTTATTAAAGAGACATTAGAGGAGGAGAGAAAGCATCGCTCTTCCCAGACACAGAAGCAGAGTCAGAAATCATGATTATATTCTGCTTGTTCCAGGCAAGGAAAAACACACCTCGTAAGAGTCAGGGACTGACTCTACTTTTTCACATGTCATCTGGGGAGGGCCAGGTCAGGCTGTCCCCCACAACTGGGAGTGAGGGAAACAGATGTTCCCAAACTAGAAGTGACATGAAGCTTAAGCACAGCACCCTGAATTTATTACATATCACAAAACATGGTAATGAAGTTTTTCTAGCACACATATCAAGCTAAAAGGTAGCTTAGGCTGCTCCCAAAATTCCATAGGCACAAGTTCCAGTCCCCAGAAATACAGAAAACTATCTTAGACTCTTGAAAAAATTACTTTTCCACAGCCCTAAAAAAAAGAACATTTTTTTTCCTTGGGATAAACACTTTACAATCAGTAAAATTATCTATTCTTTCATATTTCATATCTGTGTCTACCTCTATCAGCAAAATACTATTTTAATTTGAAAAGTGGTCATTAGCACTAAACCAACACAATTAAAGCCATATAAAGTCATTCCATTAACATCACAGCAGGAATATGGTTTTGAAGAAACACAGAATTGCTATAAAATATAAACATTATTGACTTATTTTAAGATGTCCAATCTTATAAAATATTAAACAGAATCAAGACTAGTTTCTGGTTGATTTTAAAATGCTAGATGTTATCATAAATATTTTTTTAAAAAGAAATGTTGGCGCTTTGCCTGTAGACTGCTGCTTAAAATTTTAGACACCATTTAGTTGGAATTTCATAGATACTCTATTGAATGATTAAGTTACCAAAAAAACTAAAATGTCTCTAAACACTTCCGAATAGCATAACATGATGATATTTTGACATCAAATATGAACACCCATTTACCTTCCTTTCTCCTGCCCACTTTTAGGGTTAAGTTTCTCCTGCCTAGATGCATTTGCAATGCTTTTGCTGCCTGTGTCCCTAAGCTAGCTCTATCAGACACACCAGCCATCTGCAGCTCTCACAGCGCCACAGCAAGCATGCACAAGTGCCTGCAGCCCTGTCCTGGACCTACGCTGTAGCAGTGGAGATAAGAGATGCACGTCTCTAGTCGGGACCGGGCCAGGCCATTCATCTTCAGGATACAAGCGCCAGGCTTTCAGACTCCAGCCAAAGAACCCTGCCTGGCAGAGCCTGTTCCCCATCACAGGCAGGCTGCACTCAGCCTAGGCTGGCCCTGTACACAGTCATCTCGCTGGTGACAAGTTCTGGTTAACCCTTTAGCAGGAGTCAGTCTATACCCAATGAGAGGGGACCTTTTTAGACTAGTTCCATTAGAAAACAGAATGAGATTAAGTTCTTATGGAATAAACCTGCTCATCTGCAAGCTGCTGTCCACCTCCTCAGCACATCACACATGCACACCCCTTATTTTAACACCACTCTCCTCCAGGGAAAATGTGATGGTGGCTTTTGTGTCCCTTGTGAATGGTCCTTGTGTCAGATATAAAGGGTTGGAATCCTGGCACTCTGTTAGTAATCCACAGTGATTCCCTCACTGAAAAGTCAGGGGTAACATGACCCCCACAAGCTCCCATAGGGGTTCCACTATTCCCATCACTTGGAAAGATAAAGGAAACTTTAAAGAAATTACCCAAAATATGACCTTTGCCTGCACACAATGTGAGAGCTCTCTGTTTCAGTTCCACCTTGATTCTTGGTGCAATCAAGAATCTGATTCTGTTGTAATTTTAACAACCGAATCAGAAAGTCTTGCCAGTTTCCTGATAATAGAGCATTCTGTAAAATTCAGGCTTAGCAGAAGCTGTAAATCACAACTTCTATTCTGATAGCATCTTTATACCAGTCATTGTGAGGTTACATACGAATATTCCACTAGATTCCGGGAGGAAGGGAGAGCAAAGGTTATTCCCATGTGGTTAAATTATGTGCCCAAATGAGTCAAAGGCTCAATGAGGACTCTTGGCCTCTAAGCCTGTTCTTCCTGTGACACTGGGCTGCCTCACCTCTCCCAAACTCTCCACCTCGACCACCACCCAGGCAAAGTCACTGCACCTACTGGGAAAGAGTCCTGGATTGGAGTCTGAATCACACACTTACTCACCTATCGTCACGACTGTGGGGTGCCACCTGATCAAGGCTAACCCTCTTTTGACTACCCTAGCAGAGCTCTTATATTCCTAAGTCAGCATGGAGACGACAAATGATCACAAGCTATCCCTGAAACGGATCCTGTTTGGCACACATCCTTGGTCCCAATTGTGCACTTAGGGGAGTTGACTTTTAAAACCACTTTCCATCCTGCCCTGACTCAGACCATCACACCTGCAGATCAGCACAGGCAGCAAGACTCGGCCACGCTAGACGAATGAGGGCATAGCAGCTCCATGCCTTGGGGGAGTGGGCTGAGACTGGGAAGGGGCTGGAGGGGGAGACCGGTTCCAGTTAGGGCAGTGCCGCTGCACAGGAGCCTCTTTAACAAGGGAGATGATTAAAAGGCTCCAGCACCGTCTGCCTTTAGGGGAACCTGGTAGCATTCCCCCAAAGCAGCAGTTCCCAGGTGTGTTCCAGGGACCTTGGGGCATCCCAAGACACTGTCAGGGGTCCATGAGGTCACTGTGATTTGCATAATATAAGGATGTTCTTTGCCTTGAACACTCTCATCCTCTCATGAGAGCACAGTGAGGTTTTCAAAGGCTGCCTGATGTGTGATGTCATCACCCTGGCGTCTTTGTGCTTGCATATTCTTGTTTTAAAAACTGCTTAGTTTTAATTTCTAAGACAGTAAATATTGACACACAAGGGTCTTCAATAATGTAGAGTACAAAAGGGTCCAAAGACCAAAAAGTTTGATAACTGCTGACCAATGTATCCTCCAACAGGCACTACTACTGTTTCTTCAGATGCAGACTTTTTACCCCATCTAGGATTCCCGCTATTCTGTGGACCTTTCTCCATTCTTGGAAGAAATGGCCTTCCTATGGCTTCTCTGAGCCAACCTTTGGGACTTCTCAATGGGTTGCCTTCAGCATGCTTTAGAATGATGTGCCCTTCCAAGTTCCCAAACAGCTGTGTCCCTTAGGTCTAAGAGGTGCCAAGGAGAATGAACTCACCTGGGTTTCTACCCACCCTGGAACTGTTATTAAGTCTTAGCCAGCTCCTTCACACAGATCATCTAATCATGACACAACTGGGCTGCCAGAGGACACTAGGTGCATGGTACTAAATAACAAGCCACGATAATTACCACCTTTTACTACTATGTCACATCACTTCACTTCTTTTCAGCAACTCTTTCTTCTCAAAGACTTCTGAACATAATTATTATTTTCAAAGAAGCGAGATCTCCTCACTTTCTGAAAGAGTATAGAATGTAGTACCCAATAGTCCAGTGGATTAATTTTTAATTGGGTTGTTCCACATGTAAGCTAGTCGAGAAGAGCCTGATGTCCAATCTTACCTTTGCTTCCCTAGGATGTATACTGGCCTGCCTCTCATCTTCTATCCAGGAGCTGAAGAGTTTAGCCTATGGATGCTGGTGTTGGGGGTGTCAAGTTTGCTGTGTGTGTCTGTGAAGATTCTAAATAATGAACTTGAGTCGTCTCTCACAACTTTCTCTACACTAGAAGCTACACTTCTCTGCCAAGGCTTTAAGAGAAATGACAGAGGTGTCTCTGCCGTTTGATGCCAATCAAGTTTCAGGAAGCCTTCTTTCCCTTTTGAGTTGAAGCTGGAAGCGGCCTTCCTGATTCCTGGCTGTCTTTTCTAAGCCGGCCTTGCTACCAACCTTAGCCAATGCCGTTCCCCAGCAAAACAGCCAGGCCCAAGTAGAGAAAATGCTCTTGTTCCATTTACATCACTCCCTAACTCCCATCTAGAAAGTGGTCACTTGTCAGTTTTTACTTATTTGAAGAGCGTGGAGAAGGCACGTGGAAACGCCGCCCACTTGAATCACTTGGGGCCTTTCTGCCGAGGCCTGAGTGTATGGAATCTTGGACCTAGAAGGTGGGTCACACTGGCCCTCTGAGACAGGGTGACACATACAGGCGGTAGGCACATGCCATCCTTCAGCACTGAATCAACTCAACATCGGGTGGGTCAAAGACAGAGGGACTGTCTGTCTGAGGGCAGATCAGCTTCTCACCAGCACCCACAGGGTGGACCAGCTTCCCTTTCAGGGATGATACATCACATTCCTCATAAATTCTTATAACTTAATATACCCAGGCGCTGCCCAATCAGAGCAGAAGTGGGCCTTTGGACCACAGCAGGGTCCTGGAGGCTCCCTGCAATGTCAGGCTCTAGACCTGTAGTTGCTGAGTCACAGAGCAGTCTCAGGAGGGGTGGGGCTGCTGGCAGTGGGGAAGGAGACTCAGGTGCTAGGGTGACAGCTGTTGATACCAGGTGCAGCTGTGCTTCGACATCTTGACAAGTGGCCTGGCCACACTGGAGTGTTCCTGGCTTTCCACCCCATCCCCTACATCACCATGTGGTGCAGCATGAAGCAGTCAAACCTGCCCTCGGGCCCTATGGACTGTGCTGTGAGAACCCACACCACCTAATGTGAGCTCCTGGATGTTAACTAGTCTGCACACTTACACACATGGGGGCAGAGTCGGGAGCTAGACCCATTTCCATAATGAGGACAGCAGGTCCACTGAAGTCCAGGTAGGTCAGACCTCTTGGTACAGTGAGCACTGCAGCCAAGGGCAAATGTCATAGGCACAAAAGACATCACTGGAAAAGATCCTGAGGCTGGGATTGACCCTGTCAGTCACGCCTAGGACAAGCTTGCAGAAAGCATACTTCCCACTGGGGACATTGCTCTCACCCTCTGCCTAGCCTTTGGGACTCTTGCCCTCCCAGGATGCTTGGAAGAGTGTCCACTTCTACAGGAATAGGGTCCCCCCCGAATCTGCTGTCTCTCTCTTCCCCTGTCTCCGCAGGCCCCACATGCATACACACGCACTCGCACACACACACAGCTTCCAGCCTGTACATATCAGGGCAGGTTAAAGGGGCTCATAAGCCCTTCTTTTCTCTACACACTTCAGAGACTTCAATTTTTTTAGATTCTTCTGCATGACCTCTGCACTATGGCTACTTTTGAATGTTGATCTTAAAATCCCAACTGGCCACTTGGGGTGTCTTGGGCTCAGCGTCAGATGTACAGACTCCAACCACCATTTGGAATCAGCTGAGAATTCCAGACCAGACACCCTCATCAACCAACACCTTGGGCAAAAATCTGCTATTCTTAAGATGTGAAAATGCAACCTGCAGAGTTACCTTTGTTGACATCTTTGTGCACTGCCTAGATATCTTTAAAAGGGGGGAGTTCTCCTTCTCAATGGGTAAGTATGGTACAGAACAGAAAAGAGATCAAAGGAAAACAAGACTTTCTTAAAGTTCTGGTAGTAAACAGGCATATGATATTATTATTGTTGTAGTCTTAATAATAAGCAATTATACGTTCAAAGTGCTTTACAATCACTTAGCTATTCCTCACAACAGCCCTGTGAGGTAGGTCGACATTATTAACCCCATTTTACAGATGGGGGAAACTGAGGCACAGAGAGGTTAAGTGTCTTGCCCAAGGTCACGCAGCAAGTGAAAGCTGAAACTGGGACTAGAACCCAGGTTCCCTGACTCCCAGTGTCCTTGAAACTAGACCACACTGCTTCCAAAGAGGCATCCCCAGACTGGCTCTGACCACGAATTAAAGACGGACAATGTTAGATGAGGTTTGGGTGTGGTGGTGTTTCCTGTGGACACGTTAAGATGGAACCTGAGGTGTTGCCTGGATTGAGTTTGGCATGCGGGGTGTATGTGTTAGTTTCAATGGGTGTATCTGAGCTTCCTGGCCTGTCCACTTCTCACTGCATTCTGGACTGGGTCACTGCAGAGAGCAGGGCCGGACGCTCAGGAGGTCATGGTGGACTGGTATACAAAAGGAACTCTGTCAGCTCAGCGCCGAGGGGCCTGCCAGTCTTTGGGAGTTCGGGCAAACTAGGGATGCAGGACTTTGGAATGGAGTCAGATGCCCACCTTAGGCAGGTCTGCTTAATCTTTTTATTTTTATTTTTATTTTTTTGTTTTACTGGCCAGCATCAGGAAGTTGTGTTCATTTCATTTCTCTGTGGGGCAGCTGCCCCCCTCCTTTGCTCTCTCTCACTCTTTCCCTTTCTCTGAGTCTCTGCTTGGAAGGGAAAACTGTTAAGACTTGTACGATCCCTTTCACGAAAAAGAACCACCGTGAGCAACGTCCGCGACAGGCAGCCCTGGCTCCGCAGATGAGCCACGGCCCCGCTTCCACCTTCCGGAGGAGTGCTTTGCTTGGAAGGGGTCTCCCTGGGGCCTTGGGTCTGCTTTTTCCTGCATTTCTTCCGAAATGCTGTTTCAGTAGAAATAAGCCCACTTGAGACTTTTCCCTTTCAAGGCCTTAGCCACAAACGCCTTCCGACTAACCAGCTTGGTGCCGTAGCTCAGGCAGAAAATTCTAAAGCATCCGTTCAAGCATCTGAAACAAACGAATCAGCCAGTGAAATCTCATCTGTTAGCATCTGTTCTCCTCTTAGATTAAAAAAAGAAAAAAATTTAAAAAGAGCCTCTTGATGGCTTCAGGTAGAATCATGCTTTAAAAAAATAACAAAACAAAACTCCACTCCTTTTTAGACTAAGGTGACCAGGCAACAGGTGTTTTAATCTTCTACAGATTAAATCTCTGTGGAGAATCCCATTTTCTTCTGTCTTTATGCATCAAGCCTCCCTAAGAAGACCACATGGGGCACATCAGGGGCTGAGAGTCCTTTGTTTCTTACATACCACCCACATCTCCCCTCAACCACCTGCATCACGAACTGGTGGCTTGGGCACAGGCTTTACAATTATTCAACCTAACAACCTAATTCTTTATAGCTAGAAATAATGGTCTCCTCCTTAAACCAAACTTCCAAACAGGCAAAAGGACTATCCCTCCAAAGCTTTCCTACGATGGGGATGGAAAGGCTCCCAGCTGGGATGAGTGGGGGACATAGTGTCCTCGGATTCCACTGGAGTGCGTGTCTTTTGCAGAAAGGAAATTCTTGAATGTTAAAAGAAAGAGAAATGAACAAAACTTTTCCCACTTAGGGGTCTTTTTCTCATCCACAAGACACTGGACTAAAGAGTGTCTGTAACTTGCACAGATGTCCTCATCTAGAAGGTCTGATGGGACATTCAGCATGCATTGCTGTCTGCTGGGAAGGGGACTGAGAATTTTCATGGCTGCATGGCTGTGTTCCTTTATTTATTTGCCCCTCGTAGGTCACTCGGATGTAGCAACAATGGATGACGAGCGAATGCTGAGTCAACCCAAAGTGAACATGGCATGTAGGAGATGCGCAAGAGGAAATTAAAAAAAGACCTGATGCAGCTTCTCTCTGGTTCCCTCTGTAGAGGGGCTGGAGAGAAGGTTGGTTTTAATGATGAAGATGGATGGAAGGATGGAAACTGCACACTCATTCAGACCACAGAGGCCAGAAGACACCGGATGCCGAGCTCCTTCCCACACATGGATCCAGGAGCTCAAGCCATTCCCCTTCATGTGGGAGGCAGCATTGCAGTTGGTCTGAACACAGGGAGATCAGATGGAGCCCACAGGGTTCAAAACCACAGTGCGTATGTGTGTCCTTGAAAAAACGTTCTCTGGGGGTGGGGGCGCAGAGGTCTTGGGCCCGTCCTGGAGGCTGTTCAGACAGACTGCACCCTACGCAGCACAAGCACGCACATGCCTAGGTCCGCACTTCTGCGCTCACACTGCGATGGCCACGCTCCACTTTCCATTAGCACGCAGTCTGTCAGCCATGGGGCACCCTGCCGTGGGAGGAGGCAAGCCATCCCCCATCTCAACAGGCCACGCCCACTCTTGGGGCGGGCTTCCCAGGCTGTGTCCTTGTCCTAGTTACACTGGTGGTACAACTCTCCCACTGCGGTCCCACCAAATTTTCCTAACTGCTACATTGTCACCCGGTATTTCATCACGCAGAAAGGAAAGCCTCCCCATGTTAATTAAACATGGAGTAACACATCACACTCACAGCCATTTCTACAGCACAGGAAGCCAAAATGCAATTAGAATTATCCTTCAAGGAGACAAAAAAAAATGTCTATGTTTAATGTTTCAGAATCAAGTACATTTTCAGTTTCTCTGTTAAGATTATGAACACAACTTAATTTTCCAGGCTGCATTCTCAACATAAATTACAGACGATGCTTCAGCTCCCAATGGAGCCATGCGAAAATATGTTGGTATCATCTAACTGGAAATGTTTGCATTTCATCAATAAAATGAAACACTATAAACAATAAAATGAAAAACGTTTAGGAGAAACCCTCAACATTATTGCAACACAAAGCAAGAGAGTCTTTCAACCCACAACCTGCCACTGTAATTCATGCCATTTGACCCTTCAACTTAGGACTCAGAAAATCCCAGACGTGAAACCTGGTAATGACTTAGCTGTGCGTTCTTTGTGCATGTCTTAAAACATCAAAACACTATTTCCAGCCACTAGAGAAAGTGCTGAAATTGTCTAATTGGGAAGTCTTGGGGGTTCAGAAAAAGTAAAAATGACCCTGCATCCAAGTGGCCACCCATACCTCTTACAGAAAATGCAAGATTCTTATGGTACCTAGCTAATTTGCTCGCTGTAAATTAGGACATCAACCATCGATGACAGACTATGTTCCCCCCTCCAGAAAAGTTATCAAGTTCTGGTCCCAATTAGGTTCCCAGAACAATAAGCAATTCCCTACAAGCCCAGGGCAGTGGGAAATGGAACTAAACCATCTAACCAGTCTCGTCTTCTGGGCAGGGGGCTCCGTTAAGGACAAGCCTGCAGAAGCATGTTCATCACTCCCTCTCCGGGCATCCAACCTGGCCACACTGTCTTCAAGGAGGGATGGACCGGAGACTTCTTCCAATATGCAAACATCTCTGCAGTTTGCCTTCCCTCTCTGAGGCTAGCTGTGAGCTGCAGACCAGGAGGGCTGTCACTTTTACAAACTGGATTGTTTGGAAGTGAGAAAGCTTCATCTGTAAATCCTACCACCTGAGATGCCAACGGGCTGTGTGACTGAGTCCGTGATTCCCTCAGCTACCTTTAGGATATGTGATCAGAGGCAGTAAGATCATTGTCTTCAGTCAGATTCATGGTCCACCTGCCAACCCTCATATACCTCTTTCCCCAGCCCCTGTAGCTGTCTGGGTAGAGCAGAGGTTTCACCATGAATCAGCAGGTCACTGTCACACAAGGCCATCTACTAACCCATGAGATACACACACAGCTCGTGTTTGTCATTCACTCATTCACTTTCACATTCATATTCATATTCTCTCTCTCAGCAAGATCAAAGATAAGCCCTCATTTTGGCTGTTACCATCACTTTGAACACACAACAATGCTGGGCATTTTTCCCTGGAAAAGAGTGAAGGACTCTTCCATGTTGAACCTTATCAATACCCACAAGGCCAAATTTAACACGTGCTGAGAACAGGGGCATAAAACTGTGGTGTAAATAGATTTTTAAAAAGTCTTTATCCTATCCATCATGGATTCCGAGCACTCTGGGCAGCAGAGGTCAGTTGTTTCAGATTGTTTGTCAGCCTCTGTGGTTCCTTGTTCCCTGTCCCTAGCATCTTCTCCCTCTTTGCCCTGCCTCCTTCATCCACGGCACTCACAGACCACCTTCCTAGCCCCTCTTCCTGCTGGTCCTCATCGTGCCTTCTTTGCCCCTCCACATACCTGCTTCCCATCCCAGAGTTTTGGGCTTCCCTAGGATTCTACATTCCTCACATGCAAGGACCCTGGCTGGTACTAGAGGTTCCCGAAAGCCACATCCATACTCTAGGAGCCTGGAGTACGGCCCAGGTAGAGGAGGGAGAGGGCCCAGAGGCTGGCCGGGGCACGAGAGCATAGCATGTGCACAGCTGGCCTTCTGGCCGTCAGGAGACAACACACAGAGACAGACACACCCCACACACACACACACACACACACACACATACACACACAGAGTACATACTAGGAGGTGATGGATGTTACTGAAATGGACCAAAAACCAACAAGCAGTGGGGTAAGAAACAAACAGAAACAAAACAAAGCACTTGCGTTCAGATGGAAAGCTGTTCATTCACTGGGCAGCCAGAACCCTGGAGCCCAGGGCTGTGGGGAAGGTGGGTGCCTGCTTGGAGGGCACTGCCTGGCGGGGCTGGGGTGCGAGGGCAGCACTCGCTCCTCTCCGTCCTGGCAGCCCTGCCACGTGGGAGGTGGCAGGTGCAGGGCTCCATGGGGAAGGCAGCGGGGAGGGAAGCACTTACCTTGTGGCCCAGAAATGGCTAGTCCACATTTGGGGGAGTGTGCAGTATCTCAGTTTAAACAAAATCCTTGTGGTACTGCTCAACCATGAATAGGCAGCTCTCTAGTATTTCAAATAAGCTCGTAAAATCGTTAGTGAAGAGAGAAAACAAAATGAGACAACAATTCACCTGTAGGGCAATTGTGGTGTTCTTCGCAGGGTACTTTCCCACCAGTCCTTGTTCTTTCCGTTTCTTGAATTTCCTAAAGTAGTCCTGTATCAGGAAAGTGGCATAGAACTTCCCCACGGTTACCTCATCATCTAAATGGAGAGACCAGACAGAGCTCTCCCGAATCAGCACATCAGACCAAGAGCCTAAACACTTGCTTCTGGCTGGGGCAGGGGCAGGGGCAGAGTGGGGCGGGCGGGCAGTATGGCGCAGAAGGCACCGAGGTCTCAGCATATAACAGAGGAGTCTCAAACCAGCAAAAAGCAAGGTTTTGCAAAGCAACTAAGGCTCAAAATTAGTGTCAGTTAAATGAACTGATATTCGAGGTTGCAGAAAATAATATATTTGTTATGAGTTTAATAGAGCAGCATATTAGTAACACTATGAAATGCTGTCTTGGTTATTTACTCAAAATAAAAATTACAAAACAAAAGGAGGCTTCACGGGCCACATTTCATCCCTGTGCATAGGGATTTGCATGTATAACTACCATAAACTTATCAAGGGCAATTAACCATCCAAATCCCGATGTCTCAAGATAGAGACCTAGAAAGGTGACATACACGCTCAGAAGGAGAGGAAGGTTTAGAAAAGTGACTGCAAATTCAGATTTTCATGAGCTCCCCGCCCCACATTCTCCACCAATAAGCTCCGTATACCATTTCTTGGTTTGTAATTCTGAACAGCTCATTTTCTGCACTGTAGTGACAGCTCCAACCAACCTCAAAGTTGAGCTGGGCTTATTTTTGCTTTGTTCAGAAACAACCTCCAACATGTATGGTTGGGGAATCAGAACTCTGCTGATGACTTTAAAGGTGATGCATGAGGCAGAATAGAGGCTCTGGCTGTCTCATGGTAAACCACTTTGGACATGTAAATGCGCCCCACGGTTCTCCCACGGGCTGCTTGCCACCAAATCTTCAGTGTGCTGTGTCTCTTGGGGGTAAAGCTTACGACCACTTTAGTACCCCATCCCATGTGTGTGGGGCCATGTGGGGCCTGGCGGTCCACTGACCACGACTTGCAGAGGCTGAAGGAGGAATGGCTGCTGGTCCGAAGGCTGCAGAGCAGCTGGCTTTTAGGCCAGACTGCCCCTGCAAGAGCTACATGCTGATCTGGGGGCAGGGGGCTCAACCTCTCTGAGCTTGTATTCTCATCTGTAAAGTGGGGATAAACCTCTCAGAGGAGCCATGAGGATTATGTGGGAGGAAGCAGGTAAAGCACTCAGCTGCCTGGCTTGGGCTGTCCTAAGTGCTGGGCACTTGATGATGATGAGCCTCAGAGTCACCCTTATTTTAAAATGTGCCGACGGTGGCATCCATTCATAGGGATCCTGGAGCTTGATGGGCTGGGGGACGTGGAGAAGCATCATCCTTCACTAATGCACCCGAGGTGGGATTCACTTAGTGCCCATCCAGGAGGTGCTGCCAACATCTTGTGGTCCCCACTGGAGATGCCCGGGCCTTTTTGGGCTGCCTCTCCAGTCCTCCCTGTCAGAAGCCACTGAGTGTTACTGTGTGAGAAGGCTGTCTCAGGTGGTCTGGCCTGGAGAAGTGTTCTGTTCCTTCTAAACCCAAGCCAAGATAGTCCTGGAGTGGTGTAGGGCCACCCAGGCAAGCCAAAGGCTCTGAGTAGCATGTAAAACACAGTCCCTAATCAGTCTCGGCTTGTCTAATGATGCAAGGTCCATAGGCAAGAAGGCAAGGAGGTGAGCAAAGAACACTCAGGTCCTGGTATTTCACCCCTTGCTGTACTCTCCAGCCTCCCTATTGGCTCAGGGTGTGTTTGGAATATCAGCTCTAGCTCTAGCCAGCCCCTACTGTTGGACACCTATAGGTGCCAAGCCCTGTGTAAGAAGAATTCCATGTGGGTCTCATGGCCTCTTCACAACTCTGACATGGTGGATCTGCTCACCACGCCCCTGTCAACAGATGGAGAGAGGCCAAATGACTTGCCCAGCTCAGTCTAGCTGGGACCTTAACACAGGACAGAGTGCCCCCCGAGCCTGGGGTCCTATCCTTCACACCACCTCTCCAGAGATGGCCGTCTCCAGCCACAATGGCTGCCGGCTTCTTCAGAGCTGCCTCTCACACCATGCAAATGTATCCCTGTCCCAGGCTGCACACAAAAGGTGGACACACTGTTGTCTAGCTAGTGCCTCCAGGGACCCCAGAGATGGTCTCCGGTGTCCTGCCATGCCATAGCCTTCCTCTGTAGTCCAGGGCTCTCAGTCTTCTCTGTGGGGCCCAGAAAAAGCCCTGGCTCTACCTGCAGAAGATCCACACCTCATTCCACCCTGATGCTTCCCGCAAATGCAGGCCTAACTCTGATCTCCCTTCAGCCTCCAGAGCAGAGGCAGACCCATCCAGGGCTCTACAGGAGAAAACTGAAGGGTCACTTCGTCTTCTCCATTGAGACACTGAGCTAATTAGGAGACTAGGCCCAAGGAAGAGTTCCTAAGAACAAGAAAAGTCAAAGCTACAGCAGGACAGAACAGGAAGGAAGAGAAGGAATGAATACAAGGAGGCTGTCTGGGCTCCGGACTGAAAAGAAGGCAATGGAGGCAGCTCAGTGTGCTCTTCAGGGCAAAGGAGCAAAGGATCCAGGTCAAGGATGGAGGAGAGTCCTGGGGAGGAGAGAGAACTTCTGAAATGAAGGGGAAGGACCCACAAGATGGCAGAGGAAGGCTGAAGTGCAGAGGTGAGAACCTGAGCTGAGAGGCAGAGATGAGGCAGCTCAGCACTGATGGCGAGGGGGCAGCCGAGGCCCCCAGGCCACTGGGAGTGAAGCAAGCCTGACGTGTGCCCACAGATCCACAGTTCATTCCTGACTTCATCATCAGGCTCACGAGGAGCTGGGTCACGCCTCATGGCACACCAGCAAACCCACCTAAGACAAGCATCCTACTCAGCTCTATCACCAGGGCTAAAAGGGACTTCCTGAGCACACCACACCTGCCAGTCACAGCCACCTGGAGTGGAGGCTGGCCTTACCCAGTCTCCTGCTTCTTGACCAGGTGATGGTGTAGGGGATGCTGAGGCCCTCAGCCTCAAGAACTCCACATCTGTTGCCCAGAGGGGTATGCAAATATCCTTTTCTAAGTGTGCTGTGATGCAGGAAAGGTTGGGGACATAGGTCTACTGGAAGATAAAAGAGGAAAGACAGACAAATGATGAATGTGGAGAGCAAAGCCTGTCCAGCAACTCTTCCAGAGTCTATGCACCAAAGCCTGATGGCCACTACCTTCTGAACTTTCTTGGTGGCCACAGCGCTCATATGAGATTCAGCCCGGATAAGCCCTGCACTGGGCACATCACTCAACAAAGGCAGGGAGCTTGCAGAGCCTTCCGTCTCCTCCTAAGGCCCCACTTCTCTCTTCTTGTGCTTCACACTGCCTCTCACTGCTGTTGTGGAATAGATTAAAACTTGTCATCCTAAACTCCAATCCATTTTAAGAAATAGAAAAGGCTAAGTCCAGTTATTGGACCAAGAAAGAAGAAGATTTCCACTCTACTAGAAGTCTGATAAAGCTAAAAGTTGATCAGCTTTTCAAAGGAAGGGAGCTTCAATGGTGAGCTAAATTCTGGACTTTTCTTTTGGTAAAATGAAAAGAAATGAAGTTTCATAGTAATGCAAATGACACCCTCCAAGGGCATTTCACGAGGATGGGCATTAACGTGGGAGTTCGGCTGGTTGTGATGAAGGTGGTGTTCCAAGAGAGATGTGAGGTGGAGCAAGGGAGGAGCAGGGTCCTCGGCTCGCAGGGGAAGGTTTACATAGACAGGCATAGCCCGCTATTCTGAAGCATGCATCTGTATTTCAAGAAACAATGTAGGGGAATACAGTTGGCAAGAGATAACTCTGATTCCATGCCACCACCCTAAAACAGAATTGCTTCAGAATATTCTGAAAGACTGCGAGGTGAAAGAAATGGCAGCTGCAGAAAAACCTCAAGCATATTGTTACAACAGTTTTTCAAAAGCATTTCATCTAAGCCATGCAAGCTCTTGGATGTGCAGCTACAAAGAAAAGAATGAAAACCAAAGAGTTGTTTTAAATGTGCAGTATCAGTTCTCCTGGGGGAAGCCAGGGTTCTCTAGGTGGGAGGGTTTTTTGTTTTGTTATTGTGGTTCATTTGTTTTCCTTTTATCATTTCTTTCTGGACCGTCTTCCCCAGCTTTGAGCCAGTGGCCGTGCCAGCTACAGGTAACCCCTTCAGCAACAAAAGCTCACGCTGCTCCTCGCTTCATGCTAAGGAGCAGGGCTGGCTGGCATGCTGCTCTGTCTGCACCCCAAGAGCCAGAGCTCATCACCTTCTCAGGGGTGGCCCGGGTCCCAAGTCAGCTATCAGACCTGAGCCAGACCAGTCTCGAAAGCTGTGGGGGCAGTGACACTATAAACGTTCGGTTGGTCACGAAACACACCAAAGGCTCATCACATGCCCATGGCTCAAGGATGCTAGAATGCTGGTGTGGTGGTACTGGGTGAACAGATCCTGCACCTTTAAAACTTGGAAACAGAACAGTCAAAAACAACCATCTCAATGTCTAAGTCCACAGGTACTTAAATAAAAACGCAAAACCAATATGCATATATACATATATATACATATACATATATATATACTGTATGTGTGTATATATATAGATGGTTTTTATATATATAAAAATTCGAAGAAGGTTAGTTATTTTGTGATAAATAACGAAAGGAAATAAGCATGCCTGTTAGTTAAAAGGGCATTTTTGGTAATTATGGTAGTAAATTCAGTCTTGATAAGAACATTTTAAAAATACAATTTCCTGAAAGCTATCTATTTTTCATGGGACATTTTCAACAATATACTGAAGGGTAATCGGAAACTACTTTTGAGTATTTCATTTTGGACAAAAAATATAGGCTTTTCACTTTGAGATCACAATCTTGTCCTCAAACATTAATTCCTCCACCAAAAAGGAAATCCCTGCAAAACCAGCCATGTGAGTTTTGGTTTGCTTTTCACTGAAGCCTCTCCTTTGTCTGGAATGTTCTTCATATTAAACCCCAAATAATCACACCAAATGGCCAAAGGGCTTTCTTTACCAGTTGGCCTTAATGCTCTAACTGATACATAAAGCATTTTGCAAACTCTCTCTGGACTTTCTGGAGACACTAGCATTAAAACCAAAGCACTGGCCAAGGACTACTTAGGAAATAGATTGCACTGACCACCAGCTGGAGGGACAACTTGGTCAAGTAATTTCATGCTGGTTTTCTTCCAAATTTTCTTTATCACAGCCCGAAGTTCTTCATTAGCTTGCTCCAGGTTCCCTGGATTCAAAAAACAAAAGGGGAAAAGCCAGCTTCGTTTCTGTTCCCCAGCTCCTCGTCTGTTTGCATAGCCTCGTCCCAGCCTGACCTGGATGAACACACTGCCCTCGGATGGGGCTCCCCTCCCACCAGGCTCTCCCCAGCCGGGGGCAAACACACTTCTTATGTTTAGCAATAGAGATCATGCCTTCCCAGTGGGAAGTCCCTCCACCATGGGAACAAACATGGTTCACCCTGAGATTCAAGGCCTGTTCCACTCTGATTCCATCCTGCCCTCCCACAACTGACACCTGCTATTTGCTTTCCATTGTTCCTAACCCAGAATGCCTTTGCCTTCCGCCCTTTCACAGGTTCTTCCAAATCGTACCTCCTTTCTTGAAGATCCAGCCTAAATTTCACCCAAATAAGACTCTCAATTCCTACTATATGTACTCATCCATACAACATAACCTTGGCCTTTTATTATATGAGCTTACACTTGTCTTTTCAACTAACATGTCAGCATAGAGGACCATTCTGCCTTCTGGAGCCCTTAACAATGCTGGCCTGGGGCCAGGTACAGACAAGCATGCCACAAGGCGCCCCTGTTAGGCTGAAAGAGGCTGGCTTTGCTGGATTGCATCTCCCTGGGCTCTAGGGTTGTAAGAAGTCACCTGCCTGCACTCAGCATGAGTCCCTTGCTGCCTCCTCTTTCCTCTCCTCCACCAGTGCCTCAGAGAGTGAGCTCTCCTTGAGGTCTCCACCTCCCACCTCCCCCCATCTCCTGGTCACTAGGTCTCCACCTCCCACCTCCCCCCATCTCTTGGTCACTCCTCAGCCTGTTGCAATCTGCTTTCCATTCCACCTGCAAAGTCGCCACTGAGCCAGCTCCAATGGCCACACTCTAGTGCCTGTTTTACCAGGATTTGACCAGGGCTGAGCATGGCTGTGAAGGCCATGCTGGTTTGGTCTCTCAGCTGGAAAGATGCTTCTATATTTCTAAGTGCTGACTATGTGCTAGGCACTACAAAGGAGCTTTTGCAGACATCACCTCATTTCATCTCAGGACCTCCTGGACATCCCTGTATTTACTTCCTTGTTATAGGGAAAGAAACTACAGCTCTGACCAGTGACATCCCTCACTGCAGGTCATACAACCAGTTAGGGATGGCTGGAGTGAGTTCATTTGTGATGGCTCCGTCTCTGCTCCGATACACTGCCTGTTTCCCCTGCTATGTAGTAAGCAGTAGTATGAGTCAACTCAAAACATTCTGGGACAAAGTGAAGCATAAAGGAAGGAGATAAAGGATGAGGAAACAGGAGGCAGGAGCCAGCCGGCCAGCCCGGCATGGACATCTCCATTCTACCTGCCAGCCCCTTCCCCAGGGCCTCCCCTTGGCCAAGAAAAGGCCCAGATGAGGAAGGCAAGATGGGATATGCTGTCTCTTTCCTTCCTGCCATCTTGTCTTGCTGGCAGGGAATGCTTACCTTCAGTCTTGATCTTAAGAGCTGTTCGAACCAAAGCAAATAGGGTTGCATTAAACATGACTGTCCCGTCACTGTTGAGAGGCATGTTCATGGCAACTAATCTCTGTAAAAAGAAAGGAAAGTTTCTTTGTAGAAAGGAAATAAGTGACCACAGCCATATCCCTCTGGATGTTTATTTTCCATTTATCACTCATCTCTTTTCTAGTCAACCCTCAATTCAATTCAACAGCCATTTGGGGGTATGCATATGATGGTTAATTTATGTTTCAAGTTGACTGGGCCACAAGATGCCCAGTTGGTTCAGCAGGATTTCTGGGTGTGTCTGTGAGGGTGTTTCCAGATGAGATTAGCATGTGAATTGGTAGAGTGAGTACAGTGAGTAAAGCAATGCCCTCCCCAATGTGGGTGGGCCTCATCCTGTTGCTGAGGGCCCACAGAGAACAAAAAGGTGGGGGAAGATTTAATTCTCTCTCTACTGGCCTGATTAAGCTGGGACATCAGTCTTCTCCTGCCCTTCAACTGAAGCTTACACCCTGGGCTCCCCTGGTTCTCAGAACTTCACTCAGATACCACCACCAGGTCCCCAGGGCTCCAGCTTGCAGATGGTAGACCATGGGGCTTCCCAGCCTCCATGATCACAAGTCAACTCCCCATGATAAACACAAATACACACGCATACACACATACATACATATACACCTCCATATCCATCCTATTGGCTCTGTTTCTCTGGAGAACCCTGATTAATACAACCTATCATTTGGGGGACTCTGGGATGACAAAGATCAAAGGTTGAGTCATGAAATACAAATGCTGACATGCAGATGATGTGTTTTGTATTTTAAACTGTGAAACTTCACTATTCAAACAGTCTTCTCCTTTTTTTCATTAATCCCAATGGAGGTCTTAGGGTCAGACCTCCATTCCAGGCACATTTTTTTTTGTTTTGTTTTTTTAGAGATGAGGTCTCACTTTGTTGCCCAGGCTGGTCTTGAACGTCTGGCCTCAAGGGATCCTCCTGCCTCGGCCTCTCAAAATGTTGGGATTACAGGCATGAGACACCGCACCCAGCTCCAGGCACATTTTTAAGGCTGTTGTGAGGGTTAAAGGAAGTAAGATACAATGGGCCAGGCACAGTGCCTGGGACTTAGGTTCTCAACCAACAGGATCCATTACTATTCCCAACTCAGGGAGTGTCCTTCAGACCTTGCCTAGTGAGACCATCATGTACATCCTGTAGCATTTTGCATGAGTCTGTGTGGCTTCTCCCAGGGTTTGGTCTTTCAGAGCAGGATCCATGCTCCCCGCTCATCTTCTATATCCTGATCCCTTTAACACCAGCAATGAGAGTTGGAGGGAGTTTGGGTGAGGTACACCCTCTCTGGGCCCCAGTCACTTCAACCTGTAAATGCAGATGATATGCCCAATGATGGGAACTTGCAAGGATTAAAGGACTCATGGACACAAGAGTTTTGTGTGAGGCACATGGCAAGCACTAAATTAATGGTGATGTTGATAATACTTAAAAACTTCTTATTTTTTGTTAACAGCATGTTCCAAAAGAAAAGACTTTCTTTCTCTTCCATATTGATGAATTGGAATCTTGTGTCTTCATAGTCTATCCCACCCAAACTCCTAGTCCTCCTACCAACGCCCGGCCCCCTCGCCAAAACCAGCACAGGCAGCCAGGGAATCCTGGACATTTGTTCACTTTTCCTGGCAAGTTCCTGAGTCAGCAAAATGGATGACTGTGCCTCAAGGACATTTGAAAGCTTTATGTAAAAGGGTCTGGAAATTTAAACACAAGACGACATCAGTGAACTGGATCCCACACTGTTCTTGGAAAGCAGAAGAGGCAGTACTGGGAAGTTTATGGAAAAAAAAAGTCAGGCTCTGTTTCTATATCTAGAGTGCGGCCTAAAGAGAGGCAAGGACCCTCAGGACTTGCCTAGACGGCTTTCTGGATTTTCAGGGCAGGGAACATGCATCTGGCTCAGGGATTTCTTTGAGTCTGAAACATATTTTAGACTCTGTTCTGCTACCTTGGTTTCTGTCTAGAGCTGACTCAGCATCCTTGAGTGGTAAAACCCCTGACCCCAGGATCTCCTTGGATCCATGAGGAGCAAGAACTAGTTACTATACAGACTGGATGAATTTCTAGAAGGCAGAGTTTCAAGAGGCAAATCTTGCATTTCTCCTTGAAAAAGGAAAATCCTTTTTTGTTGCTACAACAAATGTAAGCTGCTGCACCGTGAGTTCTGTGGAAGGAAAAGTCTCACTGAGGGTTCCTGAGAGCATGCTCTGGCATGGAAACACAGAACCGGGTTGCAGTGGGAGATCTGGATCCATCCCGGAGAGACTAGGGCCTGGTATGCCAGGAAAGGGGCCCCATCTCCTGTGGTGGCCACAAAGCTCTGTAGCAGAGGGGACGTGTGGAACACACAGCACCGTGTCCCACCACTGCCGAGGCTGGGAGATGCGCTCTCGTAGCATCCCCCTCCCCTCACCCAGGCCACCAAGTCCTCCCTGCTCCACATCCGAAGTGAATCTCCAAGCAACCTGCTCCTCTCTCTTCCCACTTCTGCTTCTGCTGCCTTCATTCCAGCTCTCCTGGTTGCTCCCCCTGCCTCAGGTCTACTTCTCCATTGACAACAGCCAACTTCCTACCACGGAAACCGGAAATTTGTGTTTCTTCCCCATTCTCCTGGACCTCAGCAGGTCGGAGAAGGCTCAGCTTGTGCTTGGGGCCTTCTGACACTTCCTCTTATGTCCTAGCCAAAGGGTGACCCAGTGGCTCACCCTTTGTCGTTATGATGTCCATTCTCCTGCCTCCTTCAGAGCCCTTCCTGCCTCTGACAAACTCCTAGGTTCCTTCTGGACCTGACTGAAATGTCGCCTTCCCTACCATCCACCCAATGACAAATTACAGAACTCCCTTCCTCTTCTGATGGTTCCTGACAGGGTGTCCAAAGAGTTACAAATATGTGAGTTCCCCAGAAGTAGGAACCACATATTATTCATCTCTGCATCCCGAGCACCTGACAGAAGGCCTAGCTGTGTCACTTAACAAGTGTTTGTTGAATGAAGCGAGCTTCTACAAGAGAGGCTGTCGGACATGCACACAGGACACTCACCTTGCACGCTACTCTGTGTGGGCATAACTTCCCAAACCCCAGGGGAGGCTGGATGCGTCGAAGCAGAGTGACCACGTCAAGGTGTTTTATCCTTCCCCTGGAAGTAAAATACAATGTGAGGTCCAGGAACAGTACCAACTGGCCCAAACTTTCAGTCCAGTCCACAAAAATCACAGCTGACATTCCAAAATCCACCCACACACACCAAATCAAATCTTTTTCAACCTACTTTGCCTCAGGGTCATATTCTGACCATATTCTTTTGAATTCATCTAAATGGTGAGGCCCCAAAATAGACCAGTCCCGGGTCAGATAGTCGAAATTATCCATGATGACAGCCACAAACAGATTGATGATCTGAAAAAGCAAATCGGAAGGGAGGAACTTCAGCTGCAGCTGGATTGGTTAGAACTGAGCACAGGCTTTCTAATGACATGGACATGAAACATGGGGACCCCGGTCTCCAAGAGAAGTTGTAAAAAACTTTCTATTTGGAGAATGTTTAAGAAAACAGTGTGATTCTAGCTTTCTGGAATGGCTTTTATTAAGTCCTGGGGAAGGAAGGCCTTCTGAAACACATTGCAGTTTTATAATTTCATTATCACCAAAAAATTCACACTCTTAAGTCACCACCATATGCACTGGTTTTGAAATTTTAGAAAGGAACGCTAAGAAGCTAAAGTGACTGGTAATTGCTCCAAGTCTATTATCGAGCACCAAATCTCTGCTTACAAAGGTGGCGGCAGTGACACACAACTGGTTAAACAAAAGCCCTCAACTGCCAAGTGGAGTCCAGAGTGCTCATCCACATCAACTGTCCTCAGGCGATGGGACGGGGCAAGGTCACTGCTCTGAACACTGAATGCTACATAAGCATCTGTAAATTGAGAGGGGGAGCTATGTTGATCACTTACCAGAAACGCACAGAGCATGTAAAAACTGATGAAATAGACAATGGCAAAGTTGCTCCCACATGTATACTCCTCCCCGGGGTTGTAATCTGACTCAGGGTCACAGAGCTTCCCTGGGAGGCAGGCCAGCATGATCTCCTGCCAGGCCTCACCTGTCGCACACCTTTTTCAGATGAAGAACAAAGGGGGCTTTAGTGGAGGAAAGAAGGAATTTAAAGCTTAGATCTTAGGGGACAAAAACTCATAATTAGAGAAAAACCTAAGTCATTTGAAGCAAATCCAATTTGAATTAATGGAAATGTGAAATTCCTACTGATTTTCAAGTGCGACTTATCATAGCAACTGGAGGTCCTGCTGCAATTCCCTTGGATTTACAGCCATCATCTGATGCAAGTGCACTAATAGTCTTCGTATAAATGGATGCTTATTTTTGTGTCTTCTCTACTTTAAACATTTGTATAATTAACAGTAATTAATTATTATTATTATTTTTTGAGAAGGGTCTTGCTCTGTTGCCCAGGCTGGAGTGCAGTGGTGTGATCTTGGCTCACTGCACCCTTGACCTCCTGGGCTCAGCCTCCCCAGTAGCTAGGACTACAGGCAGTCGCCACCACATCTGGCTAATTTTTGAATTTTTAGCAGAGTCAGGTTTTGCCATGTTGCCTGGGATGGTCTCGAACTCCTGGGCTCAAGTGATCCACCTACCTCAGCTTCCCAAAGTGCTGGGATTACAGGCATGAGCCACTGCACTCGGCCTATTAATTATTTTTAATGACCAAAATACTTAACAACTTAAGTCTCTGTTCAATTTTGTTGAAGGCAGAGTTGGAAACCACCTAACTTGCAAATGACTTGTCAGTCACTAGAGTCATTAGAAATACTTCATGATCTCTAGAAAGTTCTCTCACTATGAAGGCAGCTTGTTTCACAAAGTTAAAGCAATCCCATAAAATCTGAAATTGTACATCTTAGGATGTTCTCCACTGGCTGTGCAAAAGGCCTCGACATTTTTGCTAAGTTTCTGTCTTCCTGGTCGTGTTTAAGTGCATGCCTCCATGCATAAACATACATCCTACAATTTTTCAGATGGCCTAAGTAGCCCTGCTTACTCCCAAATTAATAAACCTTATGTCAGCCACAATCGGGATTACCACAGCGGTTTTAACAATCCAACAAAATTCCTGTGTTTGAAATGCTAGGGTCCGTGTTTAAGAATACAAAACACAAACAAAAAGCCGTCACAGTCAACTGGGAAAGGCACGCTGCTTTAATAACCTGTGTCCTCCGTCCCTCTGGATCCAGACCTAGCAGGAGACTCACAACCCCTGCCCAGGAGCACCACCCAAGCCAGTTGCAGTCACCTGAAGAGCAGCAGCACCGCCTGGGGAAACGTCTGGAAGTTATTGTTCCTATTGATCTGGTTGTTATCTCTCATGGCAACTTTCCCAAACATCTAGGTGGAGAAGTTGTTAGGAAAAAGAGAATAGATTTCGTCATGCAAAAAAAAAAAAAAAAAAAAAATCCATATGTGAATTTAGAACTAACTCAGGTTTGAGTTTACTAACTAGGGTTTTCTCATGGTACCTGGCACTTCACTCATTCAACAAAGATCTGCCAGGCACAACCATGTGCCAGGCAGCAGGTTGCACACTGGGAACATGGTGCTCCAGAGGGGCACTGTCTCACGTTTGAGGATCCCCCACCCTAGGGTAGAGACCCAAAGGTAGACAGGCAACATCAAATCCCAGTGATGATGCTGGGGTGGTCCAGATACACAGGGAAGATGAGACAGGCTCATCTACCCAAGGCTGGGGGGCTGGGTCAGGGAAGGCCTCTAGGGGGAAGTGACATGTAAACTCAGAACTGAAAGATACATCAGGCGATAAGAAAGGTGAAGAGTGTTTCGGGTGGAGGAAGCACCACGTACATAGGAGCAGGGTAACAGCATAGATACCGAGGGAATGGAAGTAACATGTGTGATGAGCAGACAGAAAAAGATCAGGCTGGAGACAAGGTCAGGAGCCAACAGGCAGGGGCTGTGAGCCCCAGGCAGAAGAGTGGGCTTTACCTTCACGGCAACGGGAAGGTAGTAAAGAGTTTTACTTGTGAGATTTAGGAAGCAGACTGACATTCTAGAGAAGCCTGCAGATGCTTACAAATGCCTGCTGGGTGAATCTGGGGTAGTGTGTGCCATGCAGCTTGCAGTTCTGAGATGGCTCTTTTTTATATGAGAACGTATGTGATAAAAGACCTTCCAGGGCACACAGCGCCACGTGCTGCTGAATCACAGAGGCTCAAGTATGCTGACTTTTGTTTCCTAACTCCTGGTAAGATTCCCAGAGACCTGCAAATGCTTCTATGCTTTCAGGATAAAAAAAAAAAAAAAAAGAAAAAGAAAAAGAAAAAGCACTACCATTTCTCTGTCCCTAGAATCACAGAATCACTTTACTTCTTTCTCACTTACATCCCTCCTTTACCTGAAAGACAGCACCTGCCCACGTGGAGAATCTGCAAGGAGCCTGCCAGCAGAGATCTAGAGCCACTTGGGCTCTTCGACTGCCTCCATTCTTAGACGCTGCCTCCCTCCACCCACAACCCATCCCACCGCCCACGTGGTGTTAGGGCTCCTTTGTTAGGGAGGCCCAGTCCCTTTCCCACCCCCAGGAGGAACTGGGAAGCAGGGTGTAGCCCCTCTGCTTGGGTCACAGAAGAGCCCAGTTTCATGCCTCTTTTTAAAGGTGAGCTACTAAAGCACAACAATGGTCACAAAAGGCACTTGGCTCAGCACCCGCCTTCTGTCCCTGTGATGGCTCAGCACAGACTGAAAAGACCATGAGGGGCCACATGCTTCTCTCTTCAGTCTTAGCATCTGGAAATATTTAGTTTCAAGTGAATTTCACTTTGTTATGATAAAGCACAATTCTTCTGCCATGAAATGCAATTTTTCCTGGTGCATTCTAACCTCGCTACATTCTTCTGAGCCTGGGCCTCCCCTGGAGCTCTCTCCTAAGCAGCCGTGTCTTTCTCATCTTCCTATGTATGGCTTCAGCAGAGGCATTTGGCTGAAAAAATCACGACGCTTCTACTTCACTTGGTCAAGATACACCTTGCCACAGATTTGGGGCTACCCAGTGAAAGGGCCCCTGAGGGTGAGATGGCTGGAGCTTACCTGCATGCCAATGACCGCATAGATGAAGAACAGCATGGCTATGAGGAGGGCCACATACGGGAGTGCCTGGGAGAGAAAAGGCACCTGGATGAGCACTGGCCAGCTGGCACAGACTGAGAAGACCCATGAGTGGCCACATGCTTCCTTTCTATTCCACGTGCTACCATGAAAGAACATTGACAGTGAGGAAGAACTGTTTAAATCCCAGCCCTGCCCAGCTACTTTAGTCCTGATGACACCATCCACATGCACGCCCAGTGTTACAATATCACAGGCAGGATGTGCTTTCCATGGTCATTAACCCTGTAGCCTAATCCTAAACATTTTCAACACAGACACATAACTCTCATCATTCTTAAATTCATTACTGGATTTTCTGGGTGAAATTACAATTGATCAAACCATTCCAGAACACTGGACATTTAGAGTACTTCCACTTTCTTTCGTGGGTATGTTTTGGGGGGTAGTATTGTAGATAATGTTGCAAAGGAATATCTTTATGCAAAATCACCTTGCTTCTGCTGAAGTATTTCCTTAAGGTGAAGTCTTAGGAGTGGAATTACTGGGTCAGAGGGGAAGAACCACTTTCTGGCTGTGGCTGTAGAATGCAAAATACCTGTCTTAAGATGCACACCTTCTGAAAGAACTGCTAAGTTGGGGGACTGTGCCAGGGAAGAAAAGGAGTGAGCTGGGGGGTCACCAAGTGTGGCTCCCTTCAGAAACACCAAATACAAGTGTTTGACAGAGCCCCCATCCTTTCATCAAATGTTTGTCAACTGCTGTCTTGCCTCATCACATGTGACCAACACGTCCACCTGCATAGGGTGCCCAGAGTGTTAGGCTTAATTCTGGGAACACACGCTTAAAGCACCCGCTTTCTCTACTACCCGAGAGAGCTTGTCAGAAAGTCAGTGGCCCACAGGTGCTCAGCCACCTTCAGACCTGTGCTGGCTGTTGACCTGTGCCCGCCAGCCTGGCCCTCCCTGCAGCTGGACTGCTCAGCAGGGTTCCACAGGGTTTGTTTCAGGCTTTCCTCAACATACCTAAGTACATTTTCTTCCTAGATTGCCAAATGTTTAAGATTTTTGTTTGCACAGTTTCTCTGCTTTTATGAACTGCTGCTCTGGAACACGACTTTCTTATCTGTGGCAGATTGAATCTTTAAGAATTTATTTAAAAAGTGAGATAATATTACCTCTGAATTATCTATTTTTATAGCAGTTTGTTCCCAAGTTTTGGTACTTTAAATGAATAATAACTGTCGAGGATTCTGTGCCTTAGCAAGTCCAAGGCTCACCTGACTGAGGCCCCCACTCTACCTTCCTCCAACCTCATTCTCCCCAGCAGGGCCTGTGACTTCCCTTGTGAGTGCCTGCACCACCCCCCTTGCTGTCCCTTCTCCCTTTTACCTGTGAAAATCCCACCCACTAGGGACAAATGCTTACTGGGAGGGTAACACTGGTTACCCCAGAGGTGGGTGAGGGCCAAGTTTGAACTTTCTCTTTATGACTTTGGACAGTTTCATTTGTTATTGTAAACATTTATAACTTTCAAATGAAAAATAGTTAAATTATTTTAAAAAATGAAGATGCAGGATTCACTTTCTAATGTTTGTGGATATCCACAAATTCCCTACATGGGTCCACCTTTTAATAAGAATCTATATTTCCCACATCTTCTCTTCCAAATGGAATCAGTCCGGAAGGCTAGAATATCTGGGGCAGGGTACTGGCAGGTACAGGAAAAGCTGGTTCTACTTGGGAAAGTCTGGAACCGAGCTGTACCAGCCTGGAGAATAAGAGGTGACAAATGAGGCATGGTATATGCCTAAATATCCCGAACTCTGTGACCCTGTCAGGAGCAGGATAACCCAGTAATGGTGTGCTGGCCCAGGTGGTAGTTTCTGATTTGTGTCTAGACTAGCCAACAGACAGCACTGTTGCAGCCTTGTCAGAGAGAGGTCATTGGGCTTCCAGGGACCAATGTGTCTGTCTGCTGGGACCTGGCCCTCACACACCACCACCAGGCATCCCCGGGGCACTGCAGGGCTGCAGGCCTCACACCTCTCTCAGTCTTGGAAATGCTACAGATCTCTCAGCTACGGATCCTTCCTGCTTTCTCTTCTGTTTCCTGTAGGCAAGTAATCCCATGTGATTGACCCAAGAAATGCTGATTTGGGTCTCTCCAGCATTCCATGTTATCTATTGACTTAGGTCCACAGAGTGGCCACACAGGGGGAGCCTGGGTCCTCTAGGATGGGGACAATCACTGACTTACATATGATCTTCAAAGACAAAGACAGAAGTCCTAGGTGTGGCTCTTACCTGAAAGGACTTAATAAAAGTCCACAGCAATGTCCGGATGCCTTCCCCCCTGCTGAGAAGCTTCACCAATCGCATCACTCGGAAAAGACGGAAAAAGGTGATGGAGATTCTATTGCTCTCTTCAGAGTTCTAAAGGGTTATCATGGAGAGGTCAAACCCAATGGAAAGTAGAACATGCAACACTTTCAGAAAAACAGCAACAGATGCAAAGGTGACAGAGGTAAGAACTGAAGATGTGATTCTAGGGCCTTTTCATCTTAAAAAGCATGATATGAAAGGAAGAGTTACATGCTAACAACACAGAGCTTGGAAAACTGCGTCCACACAGCACATGCATGTCCACATAGTCTACTGTGTTAGAGGAGAACGCTGGGCTGGTCAAGAGTACTGGACACTGATGATGAATGCAAACCACTGCAGACACTGTTCTGGAAGGACAATCATGGAGAATACAGAAAAACCAGTGGAAAACTCGACATGATCAAATAAACTCAAGGAAAAGGCCCAGCCCCTGGGGACTAGTCACTGATCTTACCCCAGGTGTAGCAGTTGGGACAGGGACATTTTCACTTTCAGTTGGCTTTAAGAAATCAAAGATTGAAAATGGATTAATGAACCAGGAAGGAGTCAATGGTTCTGGAGAGCATTTCCCCCTTTAAAAAAATGTGTGGTTCTTGTCTTTGGACACCACGCCTGCTCCCTCCCTGAGAAAATACCAGTGGCTCTCCTTGGAGGTGGACGTGAGGGCAGGCAGCCACCGACATGGGCACAGGCACAGTACCACTTTCTAGTTCACATCTGAGGACACACCGTGCCAGGCTGACAGGCATCCAGTAAAGGCAGTGCCGCAAGACCTCAACTCTTCCTAGAGACAGCTGCAGAGTGCTGCCCCGCTTCTTACGAGGAGGGTAGTTCTCTTGGCTTAGTCGGGGCTGTGGGTCTCAGGAACTAACCGCTCTGCAGCAGGCCTCCTATCCCTGAGGAACAGAATGTCTCTAGCAGAGGGGCAAACAGTGGTGCCTGCCTGTGGGCCGCAAACCCCCTTGGACCACACTCTGTTCCTATGAGACGAAACGCCTGGGTGGTGTATGTCTGACAACAGCCTCTCTGGCGGGGCTGCTGCAGAGCTGGACAGACTGAGTCAGGGCGAGGAGGAGAGAGGCGGGCTTCCCTACAGAAGCCTTCGCTGCCTGCCCCACAGCTCAGACAGCTTTCACACAAGAGAGAGTGCAGGTCCCTGTATGGGTCTTTGGAAGAAACAGTAGAGGACCAGCTCCCCCGAGGTTCAGCAGCTCCACCTCCTCCAGGGTCTGGCTGTGCTCCTGTCCCTCGGCCCCAGGATGCAGAATCTGTAATGACTGGTGCTCACCGGCCCCTCAACCCCCACCCCCCGCAGGGAGGGCAGGGGCCTTGCCTCACTCCACTCTGTGCCCAGCATGGGGCCTGGCACTACCTGAGTGTTCAGAAAGTGTCTGAGAGAACACAGAGGAGCTGGAAGCAAACTCCAGCCAGCACCAGGAGGCATCCTTACATTAAACAGCAACAGTCAGTGGAACCAGAGCCAGCACGTGCCAGCCTCTCTTTTCCCCTCGGTGTCACCAGGAGCCGACAGAGAGAAATGAGGCTCTTCTGGTCAGGGGCTTCAAGGAGGCTTTCTGTACAGTGTGTCTGCAAAGTTAAGGGACATGTGTACATGTCTGGATGTGTGCACTTCTCGAGGGCCTCCTCCCTGGGGATCAGTTCTGAAGCCTCTCTAGCGTCAAGGGCTACCTCCTGAGACCAAAGAGAAATTCTACAAAATTCACAGAAAATAAGGGGTTTCAGCATATCATAGAAAAACTGAAATTCAGTAATGTGACTATGAACCCAAGAGGAACAGGTTCTGACAGAGTTTAAAGGGGTCCTTGCTTCTCCTGGGATACTCAGAATGAGACTCTGCCACAGGTTTATAAAAAACCCAGGATCGCTATTTTTATTACCCTCTTCTATTGGCTCATCTCAAAGAAAATATCACCTCCTTAAAGGGACAGACAATGTTTTTCAACTTAAGACCTTAACAAATGAAGGAACTAATTTTTTAAAGTTCTCATCATCTTCCACATCGTTCTCACTAAGGCTGTGCACAGGAAGGCTCCACTCTTGCCTGTCTGGCTGGAGTATGCGCTGTGAGTGTGCATGCTCAGTATGCCTGCATGCACGCCTCTGCTTGCCTGTGTTCAGGGGACCAGGCAGTGTGCACCAGAGAGACAGCGCTACAGTTATCCTGAAACATGCACGACTTATGAATCACACCTGCAAGACAGTAAGGGGCCTGTTGGTCAGGGAAGGCGCTCCTGGCCACAGTCCGGCCTAAGACCCTCCTGCGTGCCTCTCTTTATTCTGCTTCAAGTCTGATAGCCATTCACGGCCCCCTTCCTTAGGGTTCGTGAAAGTCAGCAACTGAACTGAATTTTGAAGTGTGTATCTCTTCAACTGATATCTTTGAAATGTGACAACCTATGGACTATGAACTTCAAACCGTGAATATTCTCTTGTTTAAAAGAACGAAAGGGAAGAAGAGACAGCATTTGTAAAGGGAGAGGGCAGCGTAACATGCGAGGGAGGAAGAAAGAGCAAACAGCACACCAGGCTTCGTGCACCCCCAGTGCGCCTGTGACACCCCCTCCCGCCACGCACCACTGGGCATGGGGGGCTGCTTCAGGGGAGGATGTGACTGGCAGCCCCGGGGGGACAGTGCAAGTTGCCAAAATATAACCCTGAGGATGGCTTTGCCCAAATGACAAATGTCAGCCCAGTGAAAAGGGCAGGCCAGCTCTCATGCCAGTCTGCACACTAAAACCACCTGGGGATCTTCAACAAAATCTCTGAAGCCCAGGTCGTACCTCGGGGATTCTTACTTAATGGATGTGGGGCGTATCTACATGTTGGGAATTTTATTTTGTTATTATTATTATTATTTTTTAAATGGAGTCTCCCTCTGTCACCCAGGCTGGAGTACCAGTGGCATGATCTTGGCTCCCTGCAATCTCTGCTTACAGGATATCAGTGATTCTTCTGCCTCAGCCTCCTGAGTAGCTGGGATAACAGGCACCCGCCACCATGCCTGCCTTATTTTTGTATTTTCAGTAGAGAGGAGGTTTACCATGTTGGCCAGAATGGTCTCCAACTCCTGACCTCAGGTGATCTGCCCATCTTGGCCTCCCAAAGTGCTGGGATTACAGGCATGAGCCACTGCACCAGACCTGCATGTTGGGAATTTTAAAAGCTCCTTGGTGATTCAAGTGCGCTGCCAGAGCTGAGAACTCCAGTCCTGGGCCAGGGTAAAGCTGGCCCAAGTAGTTAACAGGCGGCCTATACTAGCTAATGCCCTTTAGATCTCGAGCGGCCATACAGAGTGGGGTCACTACAAAAGCCCACTCAGGCTGCTGTGGCTGGACAGTGGGTTCTTTTCGGGTTGATGAGGGATTAGTACTCGGATGCGGAGAAAGAGATTAGACTACATCCCCATCTTCCTTACAAGGGATGGAGGAGGCTTGAACATGAAGGGAACTGGTGGAGCTGGAACGCAAGTAGGCTACACTATGCTGGACACCCCTACGGGACAACAGACTGGGGAAGGACTCTTCACTAGGTAGCTTTCCAAACACGGCCTCAAGGGGCTGCTAATCAGTTTTCAATAGGGGGAATTCCAGTGTCACCTCAGGGCTCAGACAAGACAAACTTGGCAGTTCCTTCCCACCCTAACATGTCACATTCTTCAACTGGGAACCCTACAGGAGACAGCCCCTTAGCCTCAGGAGGAGGGACTACATGTCAGGGTCCAGAAAGCTCCTTAGATTCCTGGGGCTTTGCGGATGTTCCCTCGAGCCTCCTCCTATAGGGCTCTCAAGCAGGCTCTTACCACATAGGCCCTGGGGCAGCCCCCTGTAACTGTGGAAGTCAAAAAGACCCTGAGATTCCCAAGTGAAATCAATGAAATCAGTCCATTTCATTTTCTGTATAAATTTCTATCTGTGCTTGGAAGAGCTGAGAGGATGCAGTTTTCTAATTCAGATAGGAAGCAAACCAGCATCCCAGAACAGCTGGGCCAGGTAACCCGAGGCATTACGGAGAAGCCAGTTTTTTGGGGGAGCTTCCCTCTATTTCTGAGCTCACAGGTAACACCTCTGGGAGGAGGGCTTCTTTATTTGGGGTTGCTGGTCTGTGTCCGCAACCCAGTGCCCAGCTAAGCTGGCTCCTGGGAAAGGGTTCGCATACGAAATGGGGGACTACACAACCTTACTGTGGGGTCACAAAAAGAAGATGAGTGAGACTCTCAGCCACCTGGTCCAAATGGCACACCTTAAAAGGCAGGGACCATTCCTGGGTCTCTGAGAGGGAGCTCCCTCATGACTTTTTACTTGCTCCTTCAAAGTAAGTAATAATAAGACAGACATGGCTTCTAAACAAGTGTTTTGCCTCCCAGACACTAATGATAATGAGAAGAGACAAATGTCAGTGACAGCCATCCCTGGGTTAGGGACAATATGTTGCTGGGTCATATCATCATTCAAGAAACAAACAGGCATCAAAGACGGATGGAGCAAGAGGGAGCCCACCAGTCGTGGTGTGACATTTTAGCAGCCTGGTGAAGTTAGGACCAAATGTGATGGAGATAAGTCCACGAGTGCTGCCAAACCAGGAACTGAGCGGGGTGTGGGGACATGGGAGGGGGACAGTAGGATGGAGCAGGCTGGTGCACATGCAGGCAGGACCATGCAAAGGACTACCCAAAACGTTTTTGCAAAGAATACAAACGCAGGCTGAATTCAATCATTTCTCAGCCAGATCATTCATTCTGGAAGACTATGTTGGCAAGTCACAGAGCCAAGCGTGACTGACCAAGATGGCCCCAGGCTGGAAATGACAGTCTATGGGATGGGGAACAATTTAGGTGATTGCAACCAATCCTTAGCACGTCCTGTGAAGCGTAGTGAAAACCAAAGGTGGAGAGGCCAAAAACAAGCACACAGTCTTTAGAAGTGCTTTGCTTTAACGACTTCACCGTATATATGCTTATATATACTTGCCGCTACAATTTTCTAAAAATAAAACCAACATGAAAATCAATTAGGCAACAGAAAAGAAAGATCAACAGAGTTTGGGGAAGACAGCACAGCAGGTTAAACATTGCAAACAATGATGACTTACGGCAGCTACAACCAGCCAACGATGAACCAAAGGTGTTCATGCCCAGCTGACCCCTCAGCTCAGGGGACAAGGCCACCGAGGATGTGATGTGCACTGCTCCCCAGGGGAACCACATGTGGAGGGGAGTGGGTGTCGGAACCAACAGTCCCACTGTCATGTTTTTATACCAGAGGTTAAGGATACCCAGTCCTTTTTTATCTTTGCGCCTCCCGACAGCCTAGCCCAGAGCCTGTAAGTGGTGGATGTCCGGGAAATGTGTGTTGAAAGATGGAATAAATGTGAAGGTGGCCTTGAGAAACTCCTCTGTTCCAAGGCCCAGCAGGGAGACACTGAGATTTCTGAAGGTGGTGTTCTGCTCTGGCCCGGGGTAGGGAACTGGCATTGCCACGGTTGAGGAATATATTTGGTCTCGGGCCACAGTTGACCAGGAAAAAGGTCACTGACTGAAAGCACATTATGGGAGTGTCTGCCTATATGATTTGGAAAGTTTAATTGCATGCCAACAAGGGCCCCCCTGAAAGCCTGTGTTGCACAGATACCCCAGTGTCAAATGCTAACTAGAACCTTCAGCATAGACCTGCCCCTTTCCTGACTGGTGCAAGGTGAACACAGCAACACTGAGACACCGAGGAACAAAGTTGGGCCACAGGGGACAGGGGCAGCGGGGGGAGCAGGGCCAGTCTGCAGCACACGTGAGGCAGCCAGGAAGCCGGGCGCGTGCTGTCCCTGAGTACATGGGTGCTACACCCCTGACAGCCAGCAGGCAGGTCAGGCATGAGAAAGCTGGGTATCCCCAGGTGCACAGACCTTGGCCACATCCTGGTGCCCAAAAGCTAAGTGTTTACACCCACCACCTGCACAGCACTTGAAGCACTGAGCAGTCCAGGGAGAGATGCCGAGCTACTAGTTTATTGTATTTCGTTTCCATTATAGACCATCTCTGACTCACAGAAGGGTATGTTCCAGAATTTTCATGTAAATACACCTCCACGTAGATTGTAAGCACTTTGCATTGTGAGATGATTAAGCTGGCAGATGTCTAGCCATAAACTTGGGAGAGAGCTCAGGGCAGCCCAGTTAGGGACCTGCTGTTCTCCCATTAGCACCAGCTTATTTTACAACCAAGCATCATTTACATATCATGAATGGCAATTTTATAGCTGACACATGGAACATTTCACATAAAGTAGAATTTACATGTCTGGGCTTTAGAAGTTGGAATATGTGTATACCTAGGTCTAGCAAAATACCATCTGAGTGCCTTGTCATAGCGTGGCGTGACGAGGCTTAAATCACACCCTCATGGGCACAGTCTCTGACGGTCCATTTTACTTATTACAGGGATAACCTACACTTTAGAATAATACTTGTATCTCCCTAAAACTTTGGGGTTTTTAGCAAGCATTTTCCCAAATATTCAGATCATTTTATCACTATAACATAGCTGCGGCAAGGTGGTAAATGTTTTTCACCCTACTTGGCCCGTGAGGTAGCTGGAATCCAAGTCAGTTCGGAACTAGGGCTGCAACTGCCAGGTCTTGGGATTACCAGGCTGGTGGCTATCTTACTATTCACACGCCAGGATCAGCATGGCCCCAGACAGGTGGCATAAAGGGATTTCACAGTCCTTGTGTGATGCAGGCTGTCTGGGCACCAGGATGGACCTTATAACCCTCAACCCTGCAGATGTCACCAGGCAGAGCATCAGGGGCAGGGGGTGGGCTGGACATTGTGGAGCAAAAGCTAATACCACACAACAGCCCCTCCCCGTGCTCCGCCCACTCTCTCGAAAGGCTCTGCACAGCCTGGGCACACACACTGGACGCCCGCTAAGACTTGCTGATGAACTGGGAACTGATCAGGTAGACAGGGCTCTGCCTGCCTGAGCCCCTCCTGTCTGCACGGGTCAGCCCCAAGGGGAGCCAGGCGGAAGGAGGAGCTCCCTTTCTCATGCTTCTTAATTTTGCAGGGCGCAAGGTGCTCAGAGTGCTTCTAGGGAGAGTGGTTCACTCCATCTACAATGCTGCTAGTGCCCTTGTTCCCCCTCGAATGAATCTACTGGATGCAATAAATGTGGACTGACCCCCTTTCCCTGGTTCGCACTCAGCCCTCTTTTCCCTGGCCCCAAGCAGCCTTCCACTGGCTGGCATCCCCCTTTGGGCATGGGACGTTCACCAGTGTCACCAGTCAGACTCAGAGCAGACACGGTACAGGTGAGGGCACCAGCAGCAGCCGCCATACGCTCAGGGCACAGCTGGCTGTGGGGTCTCCCACCTGTGCCCTCACAGAACCATCGTGCGGACAAGGGTGCACATCAGTAACTCCATGTACAGCTGGAAAGACTGAGGCACACAGCACTCGGATGACTTCCACGGTCACACGGCTGGTGAGTAACAACATTCACACGGACACACAATTAACTCCCAGCCCTCATAGCTTTAATTGGATCTTTTGAAATACTGTTCGCACCAAATGGCGATTCCGCATAGACTTCCCCACTCTTCCTCAGGGGAAGGAGATAGAGATGGGGTAAAATAGAGGAAACTACAAATTATCCTTAGTCTTTCAAAATAAATTTGTGTCTGGATTTCTAAAGTGTGTGGAGATTCAAGGGCAGGGCCTCTAGTCTCTTCTAAGTCAGACTGAATGAAAACAACCACGATATAGGACACAAAGTTTGCTACTTACATTTACTTCAGTTATAGCAATATCAACGACGCTACCAACAACAATTAAGGCATCAAAAGTGTTCCATGCATCAGTGAAATAGTGCTGTTAGGGCAAGCATTCAGAAGCCACAGAGGAGAGGAAGCACCACAGGAAAAAAGAAGAAAAGGACAGTGTTATAAAAGGGGAACGTTCTAGCATCGCGCCACACGGCTACTTGAAACATCCCCCTAAAATAAACATGTTAAAGATACGCCACTGTGGGTATCACTTCTGACACAGCAAATGAAAACAATTAGAGACATCCTATCTTACCTTGCCTACTAGTGACCGGGGTAAATGCTGCAAAAAGGCCTATCCTACAAAAGGTGATTTGTGTCTACAAAAGGCCCTGGGATAAGGCTCTACCCTGAAATGCTTCTTGCCTACAGCTCTCATTAGGAAATCCTAGATTCAGATCAAGTGACTGGGATCTGTGACTTGTCCAGGTGATGCCACTGCAGGGCAGGGAGCGGAGTATGCACAGACAGAGAAGAGAGGACACAGGTGGCGGCCACGCCAGGTGCATACTCACGTCTGCTTCGCTGAGGGCCACGTCTATAATGCTGCCGATTACGATGAGGGAGTCAAACGTGTTCCAGGCGTCACTAAAATACCCCTGGACAGAGCAGGCGAGGGCAGACGTTTATGAGCATGTATGAATGACCCGCCGCACGGACCATATAGGGGCGAATCCGAGTCCCTGCCGCACCCATGGCACCCAGGTGGAGTGGGAAAGCCAAAGGGGAGGTAACAATACTGTCCACTGGTGGAAAGGTGCACAGCAGGGTGGTTGTGCACCTTTATGTGTGAGAGAAGGTGCACGCACACACACACATGCACGCGCGCACGCACACACACTCATGGTCCTGAGTGGCACCAAACCAAGCAGAATATCTGCAGGGCCGAGGAAGGCAATTTGGCAACCTTGTCCTAGGACCCAGAGGGATGATCCCAAACCCTCATGAGCTGATGGACTCCTTCCTTAGAATCTCCACTCGCCCCACTTAAAGAGCACTGTCACCAGGCACTGCGCACATTTCCATTTCTGTGCTCCTTCAAAGGGACCAGCAACGCTCTCCAGTCCTTGCAAGTCCAGCCTGTATTACAAAGGCCATGTCTTGTGGCAGGATGACTGACACAAGTCCCTGTCTTCAAAGAACTCTCAGTGTAGAGGACACAGACGGGTAGATAATGGCTTACAGGGACACAGGCACCGTGAGGCACAGTGTCGTGGCAGAGACACTGGCTCCTGGTTGTGGGGGTGGTGCTTAGTGGGGGGAAGTCAAGGCAGGTTCTGTAGTAGAAAAGAGTATGGAATGAAGAGGATGTTCCAGGGCTCCCCTGTCCTCCACAGAAGCCAACAGGCTCCTTCTTCCATCTCAGGTTTTGCTTTCTTTCCCTCCCACCTTTCACCGTCTAGGCTGAGAGGAGTCCTTCCCACCCTGCAAAAATAGCACCAGGTTCCTCCCCACCTCCTGATGTCTCTACAATCCTAACTGCCTAACCCCAACTCCATCTGTTCAACTTCACCCTTCTTCAAGGTCAGATAAATGCTCCTTGATGGAACCTTCCCAGCCCCGGCTGTCTGCACTCCCTCATGCTGACTCTGAATCTCTTACGTACTGATTGCTGAACGTGGGGTCTTTGTCTGTAGCTCTACCAACCAAAAGCCCTGAAGGATGATGACTGTGCTACATATTCAGTCCCCCGACTTCTCTAACCCCATTATCTAGCCGGAGCCTTGAACCCAGTCAGTGCTTGGCATGTGCAATGTCTCCTTTGTCCACCAACTTGTACCCTGCCTGTCATCCAGCTTTGGTTGTTTGTTCAGGTCCTCCTATCTTGCAACAATTTTGAGAGTACAACATCCCCACAATTGTGACTTAAAATCTATATGTATGTGCCAGACATTTTATATCTTCTTCTAGCATCAGCACAGCAGGTGCTAAATGAGTGCCTGTGGTCTCTCGACACCCCTGGGAAGCTCCTGGTTGGAGAGGGAGGTGGGGAGATACTGCACAGAGAGCCAAAGGGGCAAGGGACTGGCTGTCAAGATCAACAGCTCTGTCTATAAACCAACTGTGTTTTTCCAAAGAGTCTGGACACTTTTTGGAAATGAAAATTCAGGTACAAATTATATACAACAGGGCCCAGCATGTTTACAACTGGGTACATTTAGAGCTGCATTAAGAAAATCAGAACGAAAAGTAGTTTGAGGTGTCAGGTCCCAGAAACTTGTGATGAAACGCAGACCCAGAAGCAGCCACTGCAGAGCCACAGCCTTTTGCGACAGTATAGAAGATGTGGACGTGCCGACTGTCCTAACAGCTGGAGTAGAGACGTTTATTCTAGTCACCGTTCATCAGTCCAGGTGCATTTACGGGGGAGCTACGACACTGACTTAGGGTTTGCTTCTTAAATTTCATCTTAATAATGTAAGATCCCCCCACCCAACCGCCGTGGTTTCTAACCAACTCTCCACCTTTCTCCCCACCCTACAATCACAGTGCCTCTCTCCCATTTTACCCTCACTGACTGCTACCCTCCCTGGCCCATCTATCAGCAGACCAAAGGAATTTGTGAGCTCCAAATCTGACAATCTATGTATAAAAGTCTAATGGGAAGGTCTATTTTAAAAACAGCACAGCTTATGCTTTCTAGCTTTCCTTTGCATGAATTCATGATTCTTGACTGGCAAAACTGAGCAGAGATGGGCTGCCTTTGAGGTCTAGACCAGCAGTCAGAGATGAGATCAAGAGCTAGCCTCAGGTTGTAAAAGAACACAGCAGAGTTTCCTTCATCCAGGAAGTCTCCTAACAAGAAAGCCAGCTGAATCAATGTGCTTAGTGTTAGAGCTGACAGCCCCTGTTGCGAATGGATAACAAGCAACTCTCCGACTGGTGGCAGTGCCACAGACCACACTTGGAGGGGCAGAGCCTGCCCTTTTCTTCCCGGAGTTAAGAGTAACTCAAAAGCTAAAGAAAGCGCAGTGATCCTTCCCCTCCCCTCTAGGGAGGTATTTATACCTTGATCAAACATTTGGTCACGAGTAGCAACTAGAGCTCCAGAGTACTGACAGGGCGGAGGAGACCCAGGGTCCGCCCTTCGCACCTGCTGTGGAGTGTGCCCCAGCCCCGCCTGCATTTGTACCGTGTGCACCGCTTCTCTCCATTATTTATGTCATTTCCCAGAGGCCAAACCCACCACATGGGTGCTGGAGGCCAGCCTCTGGCTTTGAGATTTTATTCCTGAACAGCTCCTCTCTCCCTCTTCTCCAGAATTATCAGTGTTCTCTCCTTCAGGCCATTTCCATCGGCCTATAAGATATCCTCAATGCTGGTGTGCTGTGATGGATAAAATCCCTTTAAATCAGCACAATAGGGGTTTAACATTTCCTTGGGATGTTGGAAATTTTTGGCAATTTCATTGACTCTCTCTCCAGAAACCCCTTACACTCACAAAACTTTGCCCAAATCAGAATGATTGATGGACTGAAGGGTGATGGACACCCTTAATCTAGGAAGCAGGAGGCAGGTGACTGAAATCACAGGCCCTGACCAGGTGGCTCTGACAGGAGTCCAGGGGAGGGAGAAAATGCCAGCCCTCCCATTCTTCCCACATACTGTTTCCCTATTTAGTAGCCTCTTGTTTAATAAAATCACTGTCAAGTGGTATGACTCAGTTCCCCCACCCTTCACCCACCAAAGGCACCAGATTGCCTTTGTAACCAGAAGATAAGATAAGACAAGACATGACTCCTAACAGAGGGCCGGCCCCTCTCCCTGCTCTCTCCTCTTGGCCTATGATGATGTGTTCTCCTGCAACTGAATTCTGAGGCCAGAACCTCTCAAGTGGAACCACCAGTCAAATCTATATTATTTTTGTGTCCAGCTCTACCTGTCTGAAAAGACCAAGCAAGTCAGCCACATGCAATAATATGTGTTACGCAGAAACATTTCTGACTCTGACTCTTAAAATTATAAATCAGACTAACGTGGGCCTCAGGGTCAGGAAGCACCATTATTTCTAAGAACACTATTCTCACCATCCATCAATGTTTGTCTCCTGCTGGACAGTGGGTTCCCAGAAGGCACACCTCTTCTAATTCCTGGACCCCTTGCCAGGATATGACACAGGTGTGGCACATGGTAAGGGGGCAATGTTTGTGGAATGGTTGCAAATGGGAAACAAGAAAAGTGGCCCAAGTCCAGATTCCTTTTGCTGCCTAGATTCACTCTCATCTGCAGATTGGAAGAAGCCTATATAAATAATGTGCCTTTTGTCATTGACCATGGCAGCCAGATCTCTTCCCTGTTTCTGGCAGGGATTATTTGGGTAGCATCTGACCCAAGTGATAACCCAAAGTGCCAGCTTTTGGCAGAAACTATGCCTGACAGCTTTCTAACTAGCAAAAGCCTTTCCAAAGGTAAGTGGGGGATTAAGGGAAGATGTATTCCACTCTGCTCTACCCAGATACCCTGCGATAGAAAAGCAGGTATCATCTCATGTCCAGAGGCTGCACCTTCAGGATCATCCCTTTATTCCTTTCTTTATTCCACCAATCTTACTGAGCTACCACCAGGAAGCAGGCATCACGTGAGGCACCACACAGCCAGAGACAGAAGACTCAGAGACCTCAAGCAGCTGCTCACCAACAAACAGAGAGGCAGACATGGAGTAGTGTTGGTAACGATGGTGCATAGTAGGCCCCCAACAGATGCACGAGCAGACAAGAGGGCTGGCTCTGGCTGGGCTGGTGAGGATGCTGTCTCACAGGAGAGAACATTTCCCACAGGCCTTCAAGGATAACAAAGAGGAAGCAGGGCATCCAGGCAGAGGCGCATGGGCAGGGAGAGGTCTAGCATGCCAACACTCTGGGATGGGGTGGGGAAGAAGAAATGGCAGGGAGGGAATGGCAGGAAATAAGGCAGAAATACACAGGGGCCAGTGCTTCATGGAGGACTTTGAATATTTGACTAAGAAAATGGTATATGCTTTCTCAAGCAATAGGTGGCCAGTGCCAAAATATCACTGCAAGAGTGGTCTGGTCAGCTTTGGGCTTACAAAGGGAGTAGGTAGAAGGGCTGAGGCCAGAGGCAGGGAGACCATTTTGAAGGCAGCCAGGCACAGTAGCTCAGGAGAGAGAAGGGCAGTGCAGGTCCGCATGCCACAGAGGTGGCCACTAATGCTCTGGCATGTATGCATCTTACCAGGCAAGAAGGGGACCAGGAGAGGGCTCTGGGAAACCTCAATGTCAAAAGGACAGGATGGAGCCCAACAAGAAGCCCAACGTAAAGTTCCTAAGACAGTAATATTTGGTTTCAAGTATTATTTGCCATTAAAAGTAAATCTCCTAGAATAGATGGGGTCATGAAGAACTGAAAACAACAGTATCAAATTCTCTCTCCGGCAGGTGGAAAAGGTACTCTAGGAAGATCATGAAGAAGCTTCACTCCTGCAGGGGACCCTGGAGCAGCAAACAGAGCCCTTGAAGGCAGACGGGACCAGAGGACCCAGTGCCCATTCTGCATCAGCTCTGCCCAGCAGCATTAGGACAGCACCAAAACTCTTTCTTCTTTCCCCAGACCTAATTTCTCCTTACTTTTTCCAGCCCAAGTAGCTAGGAGTATAAATTAGTATATTTTCAGGGTAGAATCAAGATCAAAGTGCTTTAAAGGACTAAGATGGGAACAAAGTATGGCTCACTGGAGAAGGCCGGTAACCGCAGCAAACAACCTGGCCTAGAATGCAGCCTGGATGAAACGCCAGGTGGTAACATCCCACAAAGAGGGAATCCCACACAGACCAGGCTCTTCTTACTCCACAGAAGTGCTCTCTATACCTGCTGTAGCCAGCACTTTGAAAAAGGCCTTTCTTAGTCAATCTTCCTCGTTGGAGCAAGAGAACTTGTTGGAGAATTCCAGCAGCTGGAGGGAAAGGCTTGGAGAATGGGGCTTGTGTCTCACCTAAACTAGGGCCTGCTTTTGAAAACCCTACAGAGGCCCGGTCGACCCCAAGTTGAAAGTATGACCTAGGCTGCACCAGGTCAATGCCCAGCTGGTGGACTTTCCCTTCAGGAACCCACAATCAGCTAAATCACCTGCTTGCTTTTCCAGGATGCTTTTGCGCTTCGGCTACTAACCACCTTCCACTCTTGCCCGACCAGTGCTCCAAAACACCTCTTCCCAGGCCGTGAGATGGCCTCTTCCACCATGGAGGCTCCCAGCGTGGGGTTTCCTCCCTCGGTCCCCCTCCCACTTCCCTCCGGGCTAGCAGAGGCTGGGTCATCTCATCTCCCATGGCCTTAGGCCATTTCCCTCTAAATATGCTCTCTTAGGAGGCCCCGTTTCTGCATCAGGCTCCTTTATATAAAATAAGTCCTTAAGGTCAGATTTCTCAACTTTCTTTAACTCTTCCTTTGGAGAAGGAATGACTTCTCACCTACCAGTAAGAATTTTGTCTTACCTCACTTTGTATATTTATTTTATGAAGCAACTGAAACCCTGCCGTCCTGTGTCCCCTAACAGAGATACTGACGAGTCCTCCTAGAAGGTATGCCTGACTCGGTGGAAAACCCTGCCATGAGGAACCCTGTTACAAAGCTCCTCCCACGAGACAAAGGCTCTCCTGAGATGAGGCTGAGGTCCCATGTGGCCATCTCCTCAGAATATTCCTCCTTCTGCAGCCTCGAAAACCTTGTTCTTCAGCCCGACTACCCCACTGACCAGGAGGGAGGAGTCCTCCCTGGCTTCTTTGGGACCACTTGCCTGGGCTGGGCTTGTGAACACTAAAGAGAAGAACAAGAAAAAAAGGGCAGGAAAAATTTTAAGGAGGGCATTGCTTCTTGGTGAACTGATACTCTCCCACTCAACCAGGCACACGATATAAACTCAGCCTCCCCTGGCCATGGGGAATGCAGCGACAGTGCTCTTCAAGTGTGGAGATGCTGCTGCTACTGTCTTAAAAGCTCTCCCAATTGTAATGTGAGGTTGTCTAATGCTATGAAGATATCTTGCTGAGTAAAACTACAAGCAGTACAATTTCCAGCGGAAATCAACCATTTAAAAACTCTGATCTATCAGTACTAATTATAACTTAGCTACTCATTTCCCTTTGGTATCACCTGTCTGTTCGCATGCCACTGAACTCTCTTCCCAGGTTTGGAGGTCTTCCGGGCAACTGTCAGCCTACTGGGCAGTGCGCTACTGGGCTGTCAATGCACTGGCCTGCTGAAGGGAGCAAGCACAAACATGCACGCACACACACACACACGTACACACACACACACACACACACCATGGGTGAATGTGTTTCTCTTCAGCCTGGAACAAGCTTTCAAAAACTTCAGGCTTAATCACCTGGCAGGGGAAGACATGGCCCAGGTATCCAGGAAATGTTCCACAGAGAGGCTCCATGTCACACTTCTCAAGTACCTTCAATGTTCTCATTTTGCAACCTTTTCCATCAGTCCAGACAAATATTGTTCAAAGAAGTAAAGGTGAGAGGGAAGCAAACCAAAATCTCAAAGGAAATTAAGATGAATTTGGAAAAGGAGGAAATGCTTATGTATGTAGATATGGACAAGTCACAGTAGATAATAACATCTGGCCATGCATAAGGTGCCAAATTTGACCCCACTGCAATCACCCCAATTAATCACTTACAAATGTCCTTTCTTTTTGGTCCACAAAGATCTGACAAAGATTGCATAGAGATTAATTCAAATTAAAGAAAGGAACAGTTTGGAATTAGAATTTCATGTAACTATGGAGTATGTGAAACCATCCATTTCATAATCCATGTCTAACTTAATTAAATCAGTGTCGTCAGATACCTTACACAGAGATAACTAACTGGGTCACTGAACTCTGTCATCTCTAACTCTGAGTTTTTGACTATACTGGGAAAGAAACTGAGGGCCAAATATCCCACATTTCAGCTTGATGTGGCTCCTCTGTCCAGGGTTTTAGAGTGAGGGACCATCCTTGCTTGATGATGAGGAGGCAGTGGTGCGGGTAGGAGCAGCAGTGGCCGACAGTCTGCGGCGTGGAGCTACATGCCAGGCACTCTGTTAAGCAGTGCGTACATGGTAATTCTTTACTCCTCATGACAACCCCATGAAACAGCACTATTAGCATCCTCATTTTATGGGTGAGGAAGTCGAGGCACAGAGAAGTAAGGAACTTGTTTCAGCTGTAAGTGCCAGAGTAGAGATTTGAATCCAGTCCAGTTCCACAACTATGCAATTTGACACTGAACTACACTGCCCCTCATCTGGCAGCCGCTGACAAGTGGGGAACTGAATTCACTCCCTCCCAGAGGGGATACAACGCGTTGAGTCGTCCAGCACAGTTGAACACATTTCATGTCTCATTTTGTGTTAAAGTCGGAGGAATTTTTCTAAATTAAGCAAACAAAAGATGGTATGGCTGTGAGAGGTCTGCAGCTGGTATCAGCACTTCCCTTAAAGGGTAAAAAGGATGCTGTAGACCAAGAACACACAAAACCAAAGTCTTTAGACTAGATATCTGAAAGTATAATCAGGGTCAAATTCTTCCTGATGGGTTATGTTCAAACATTTTCTCTAGTGCTCAAGTAATGAGGCAGGTTTCCCTGACACAGCATGATACGTATTATTCTAGAAACAGAAAACTGGCTTTCAAAATAATCTCCAGTTTACAAATTTCCAATTCTAATCTCCCTTCTTCTGTTTCTCAGAATTGTTTTCATGAGGTTTTGTTCTTGCAGATTCATTCTCCCATATGTACACACATGCTCTAATCAGATTTTAATGTTCTCAGGTGGTAACCCAGTTAGTGGCCAGAACAATTTAGCATAATTCAGTAACACAAGACTAACAGGAAGCGGGTATTTCTCCAGGGTGACTCAGCAACAGCCTTTGAAAAGTGGGTTCTGTAACTCACCTTAGGCTTAAAGGCGATGACTTTCAAAACCATCTCGACGGTGAACACCCCGGTGAAGACCATGTTCAGGATGTCCATGGCGTCATTGAACATCTTGGACTGCTCGTAGTGCTATGGATGAAGACAGAGGGACTGTTCTCAGAGCCTCCGCCATGATCTCACGTGCTTGCACATGGAGGCTCCCAGCCCTCTGTGCCCCTGCGGGCATCCTCCACAGCCCAGCGCCCTCGCTCGGCAATTCCGCCGGCATTGCAAGGTCACGTGGTGAACTCCCACAGAGTGCAGGCAGGTCTGTGACAAGATGAGGATGATTGAATGATGAAGGGGGAAAACATATCCATGTCCTCTGCTCAGGATAAAGGGAATTCACCCTTTCTTCTGGCAGGGCTTTATGTTGAGGGCCTTGACCAGAGCACAATGCAGATACCACCAAAATGTCTATGAATAAAGGTAGAATTTGGTGAGGGATAAATTTTATGCCATGTAAGTTTATGTTGAATAAAAGGCAGTGTTTTCTTGATTTAACACTTTTCCCTACATCAGCACACAGTCCTTTTCATTCAAAAAGAACTCTTAGATTAAGAAAAATGCCAGAAAATTTATCCCTATCTTTAGACCTACTGTCCAGACAGCACTGAGAGCTGGTTCGATGTACTGAAGTTCTTAAAGTCAGTGCAAAAGCTGGCTCTAGACCTTGGTCTTTGCTTCCTGTCCTCGTGGAGTATCGACTAGGCATGTAACTTTTGAAAACATTCACTGTTAATACCACACTATAATCTGACATGGCCAATTAAACTGAATTGTATTTTTTGCTTCCATTGGAATAAGAAGTAGCTGTAACTCAGGTCAAACTCAATGCTTCATCAACCGGAAAATACCTTACTGCCATGCTGAGAGTCACCTGAGGACAGGAGTGTGACTTATGTTTTGTTTTCCAACATTGGGTGTTACTCTGTGACAGGCCCAGATCAAAGTGTCTGAGGGGGCCGGGCGCGGTGGCTCACACCTGTAATCCCAGCACTTTGGGAGGCTGAAGCGACCGATCACCTGAGGTCATGAGTTCAGGACCAGCCCGGCCAACATGGTGAAACCCTGTCTCTACTAAAAATACAAAAATTAGCTGGGCACGGTGGCATATGCCTGTAATCTCAGCTACTCAGAAGGCTGAGGCATGAGAATCACTTGAACCAGGAGGCAGAGGTTGCAGTGAGCCGAGATCGCGCTACTGCACTCCAGCCTGGGCTACAGAGCGAGACTGTCTCAAAAACAAAAAACGAAAAATAAAAAACGAAGTGTCTGAGGGGAATTATCTATGGCGTAAGCCTTATCTCTAAGGTAGGTGTGACAGATTTCCCCATTTTACTGAAAAAGAAAACAAGCCTCGGGGAATTTAAACAACTTTCCCCAAGTCACAGAAAAATCAGAGTAAAACCAGGATTGAAACAGCTGTGTATCTCCAGAGCTGAAGTTCTCAACCGCTACCTGACCACAGGAGGCCCACGGTAAATGTTTACATAATTGAGCGCCACCGCCAGGCTCCACGGAAATGGTATCTACTGTCATGCTGTACGGATAATTTCTTCAACAAAAGAACGATCTTAAACTCCTACCGTGACAACTGTCAGCCAGAACGGAACTCTGGCCAACCTACAGCCCAGACTCATCAGAAAAATCAAAGCCCTCCTGTGAGGGCAGCATTCCACCCTCAGCATTTGGGGCACGGGGCTGTGCGGAATGCCCGGACCTGATCCCCACGGCTGTCTCCATTTTTACCTGCATGGCCAAGCAGAGTGTGTTGAGCATGATGAGGACAAACATCATGTATTCGAAAGGCGAAGAGTTCACCACGTACCAGAACTTGTACTGGTAGGGGTTTTTGGGGATGTATCTCCGCAAGGGACGTGCTTTCAAGGCGTATTCAACACACTGACGCTGCAACAGCAGAAAAGGGCAGAAATGGGGTTCTGAGCACTTCCAGGGAAGGAGCACCCCGTGGTCATCTGCTCTGAAAGAGCTCACCCTGCAGCTCCCGGGAAGGGGCCATGAACGATGGTGAAAATGATTACGAGTGACCTCCTTCCTGCCACTGGCACCACTCTTGAGTCACCGAGGGCCCTGCCTCCACCCCCTTCTCTGACCCTCCCAGCAATCTCTGGGTAAGCTGGGTACCGACCCATGTGGCTTCCATTTTGCTTACTAAAAACTGAGGCTCAGAGCTTTTAGCTGTCTTTCCTGAGGCCCTGCAGTGTCTACACAAGCAGGAGTGAGGACGGGATCCAGGCCTTATCACTGCCTTTCCTCTATATCACACCTAGGGGGGATCTATAGGTGGATCCCATCTATAGTTCCCCTGCCTTGCTGTCCTCCAGGAAAGGAAGCCAAGTAACCACAGGAACAGAAACTCACAAGAACTAGAGGGGCTGGCTCATTCCCTGAGACTAGGAGCCTCTGGCTGCTCCCTGATGGACCCACACGAGATACCCTTCCAGAGCCACAGTGTGTTAACAATAAACATCTTATGGGGAGCTACCTACATGTCCATCGGGGAGCTTCTGGGCTGGGGAGCTTGTGTTCATTTCAGAATCCCTAGGACGTGGTCAGTAGCGACAGCTAGATGAACACAGGTTGGGGCCCAGCTGGAGCACTGTAGTGACAGCTGGATTGAACGCAGGTTGGCACCCAGCTGGAGCACTTTCTCACTTACTCTGGGCAGTGGGGCTGGTCCAACCTCTGCAGCAGGCCCAGAGGGAGCCGCTAGCCCCGAGAGCCCTCAGCTCAGCATCAAGACCTAGACCTACCCCCACTCTCCTACTTTGACTCTGGATGCAGGTTTCGGACAGGCTCCCAGTGTCTGGGACGCGGCGCTGCTCTGATCTCACATGCTGACTCCAGGGACCCCCAATTCGAGCTTGCGCTGGACCTCAGAGGCTGACACACTTTCAGTGCTGGCTCTGCCTGGCTGGCCTGGCCTTGTCCTGACACTCATCTTCCTTGGGTGAGCAAATTGCTGGGCCAGACCTCTCCCTGACAATCACTGGTGGAGTCTGCAGGGACACCCTGACAACTCAAAGCAAAATCTTCCTGCAAAGCAAAAAGCATGTCCTCGCGTTTCCCAGTGGGTACAGCCAGCTATGGTTGGCTTGCCGTGCCAGGGCCACTTCCCCTCAGGAAGCCTAGGCTACCAGATCATTCTTGCTTGCGATGTCACAATCAAAACAGAGATGCTACTGATAGAGGACCCGGGGAAATTCCCAGAACAGAATCTCGATCTTGTAGACTCTTTCAGGGTTGCAAGGAACCTCTAAAGAGCAGCTCTTTAATGCCCTTGATTTAGAGATGAGGGATCAAGCCCCAGCAGGGATCAGAGGGGGCACCTAGGGTCACAGCGCATATGCAGGAAGACAGCCCAGGGCACAGGGCCCCTCTCCTCGCCACGTCACACGAGCAAAAGGCTCCTACTTCCACCAGATTGGCTAAAACACGGTGCGAGATCAAGAATGATGCCAGTACAATCTTAGTCCCAAATTCAAAGTTACTGACTTCCCTGGGGTGGTGTAGGGTACTTCCCCCCTACGTCAGCAGTTCTCAACAAGGGGCAGCTTTGCCCACCAAAATGACATTTGGCAATGTCTGGAGACATTTTGGTTACTGCTACCAAGGGAAGAGGAACCATTGGCGTCTAACAGCTGGAAGCCAGGGATGCTGCTAAACAGCCTAAAAAGCCCAGGAAACACAACCAAGAATCATCCAGCCTGAAATGCTAATAGCACCAAGGGTAAGAAACTCTGCCCTAAGCGGCTTTAAAGACCATCTCCCAGGAGGGACTGTGAATGCCTGCATGAGTGGCCACAGCATCCCAACTAAGATTCTGAGCCATCACTAGTGGGTCATGATCATGGCAGGTGGCGTAAACACTCTGATTTCATACCACCAGGTCTGGGGATGGATTTCATAATTACAAAGTGTCATATGTATCTGGAAACCTAACGCTCAGCAGTGATGACTCAAATGGGCTGAGGGTGTGCTTAGAACAGGGCCCTAGCCCCAGGGACAGACAGTATGTGGGCGCCCTTCTCTGGGCATGGGGGAAATCAGTCAAAAAAGAAGGCACTCCACCCCTGATCAAGGGACAGAAGCCCAAACAGTGTGTGACTTTAACCTGATTTTTGTCCAGCTCACAGTTCTTATACTCTTTTTCTCCTTGCTCCTGAAATGTAACGATGACAAAGCCCACAAAGATGTTCATCATGAAGAAAGCTACAATGATGATGTAGATGATGAAGAAGATGGAAATCTCCACGCGGTGGTTGTAGATTGGGCCGATGTTCTCTCCATTCGAGTCGATGGCTTTATATAGCAACCTAGAGAGAGGAAAACCAAGTGAGGGCCTGCCAAGCCCCCAGCCCACGCAGCCCAGCCCGCTGCCTTCCCAGGTCCTCCCTCTCCTGAACTCCTCTCATGAGCACTGGCTAGGAACCACCCCAAGGCTGCTGGACACAACCAGGTCTCTCCCATCAACCTCAGGCCCAAACGGCCAGCACTAAGAGGAGCGGGCACCTGGGATGTCATCATCGAGGGACTGTTCTGAGGACCTGAAAATCAAAAGATCTCACAAATATTCTAAAATGCCCCTTTCTATTCAGAGAGGAAGAATATCTCATGTATAAAGACACTGGAGGAAGTGAAAACTGTACACACTGGCAAGACAATACGTGACTAACCAGAGTAGTTCCAAAGAACTAAGAGGGAGGGTGCTTCCCCAAACGGAGACATGCACTAAAATTAAAGTATGCCTAGCAGAACTCTTAACAGGAAGAGGGGGTTACTGTAACACCCTCAAGGTCCATTGATCCCCATCCTGAGGCAGATTCAACACTTCCGGGGCACCCAGCCCATGTGTAGGCTGCGCTAGACACTTTCACAGCCTCTCCCTGAAGCCTCACGTCCATCTGGGAAGGCAGACGTCACTGCCATCCCCATTACAGGAATATTCAGGGAGGCATCAAAGTGCCACAGTCACACTCCTTGAGGACAGAGCCAGGAGTTGAGCCAGTTCCTCTAAGCCCCAAGTCCCAGGTTTGCTCCTTTCTCCTCGGCTGCCACCATGATTTGCTCAAGGACAGTGTTCAAAGCCTGACACTAGAGCCAGTGCCCACACACAATGAAGTCTTACTCCATGCCTCTGTTCGCCAGGATTAAATCCCTAATGAACAAGCCCCACCTGACTGCCTCTTTATCCCACAGGAGCTCCTGAAAATATCTGACTCTTACACACACCCCAAGAGCTCTGCTGGCCTGTGAGGCCCAGCCTGCCCACCTCCTGCAGCTCGTCTATGCATGCGGACCAGGTATCCAGGACTCTAGGTGTGTTTGCGCACTGATGGCAGGAGCTGGGGGTGGGAGCTCCAGAAGCAGAGAGCAACGTGAAAGCGCAGAGGATTCTCCCTTTCAAATTCTAACTTCTCCTTACCTGCTCTTCTTACTTTACCCATCAACATCCTAGCCATTCTTCAGGACCCTGTTCTGCACATCTAGGATGCACCAGACCACCTGCCTGGATTGACCACTTGACACTGATTCGATTTGGGCTTGAGGCGAGGAAGCATGTTTAGACACTGTTTCCTCCACAGTGCCTAACACGCCATGTTGCATGGAGCTGGTATCTAAGCATGCAGTCAGCCAGAGCCCAGTTAGACATCTCTAATGGATGGGGAGACACAAGCCTCTGCACAGCGTGGTCTGTAAATGAGCGAGTGGGTGCTCAGTAAAAGAGATGGCACACAGCAACTGTCTGCACCTGGCATACATTAGTACAAAGTATGAGGAGTGAACGAATGAATGGTTTGGGACACCATCCAGAGCCTCTTTGGGAGCAGCGGATGGCAGCTTTCCTGACATCCAATGGGAGTTCACAGGACTGAGGCATCTCAGGCCTCCCTGCTCCCACCCAGAGATGCTGCTGGGCACCTCTACCAACCCTGCTTCACAAATCATCCAACTACACAGAAAGAGGCCCTATGGGTCAAGAAATGACTGAGAAGTGGCCCAAGGTTAAAAAGCCACAGGGCAAGCCTGCGACCCTGGAGAACAGAAATGGGACTGACTCCGGGAGGGAGGGCTTAGCCCTGGGCACAAGACTGGGTGCTCCCCATACTTACGCAGGCCAGCCCTCAAACGTGGAGACCGTGAAGAGTGCCATCATAGCAGAGAGGACGTTGTCGAAGTTGAAATCACTGTTCTGCCAGATCCGCTCACGGACCACAGGACTGTCAACATCCCCATCCTTGTAGAGGATGAAAAGTCCCCTGGAGAATAAAACAGGTGTGGGTCATCTGGCTTCACACATGACAGATGGAAGCAGCATAAAAGTTGGACACACTGCCCTGATCCCACCTCCAGGCAGGTCACGCTCAGTCCGCCCGCCAGTCACACAGCTGAGCATAACACCAGCGCTGTTTCTCCTCTCCTTGCCCTTGCATTTCATGTACTTTGCAGCTCAAATAACCACTGAATAACTACCAGTGCAACATGTATTCTCCAGAGCAGCCAGGCAGGCACCGGGCATACGTCGTTGGCCGATAAAAACCACAGCACGGTGAGTGTGTCTCATATACAACGGGCTTGAGGCGTGCTCTGAAGGATCAAAGCTCGGCCATAGAGAACTCTGTAAGCTCTAGGAAACAAACCCACGTATATTCTTCCTGCATTTTAGTTTTAATCAAATCCCTTTCTCTTCTTACTAATGGCATTCCCAATTTTCTTTCCAAAAGAATTCCATTATTTCTGGCAAATTATTTCTCCCAGAACTTCATTTCTGGAAGGAACTGAAGAGATAAAGTGCAGTGTCTTTATTTTATAAATGAAGACACAGAGGCTTCGAGAGGGAAGAAACAGTGTCCCCACGCCTGTGTCTGCTAGGCTGCTCACCTCCAGGGACACCATGAATGGTGCCTCTGGAGGTGCAGAGACACAGCCAAATTGCAATTGGCGCTCTCTGACTGCACCTTCTGCTTAAAATAAACCCGAAACCAATGTACACACACAGTCAGCCTAGCCAGAGCCCAGTCAGTTACGTCTCTCACGGGTGGGGAGACACAGGCCTCTGCATAGTCTGAAACTTTAGGCAATGGCTTCCATGACTGCCTTCATGGTCACTGGACATCCCAGAATGGGAGGCATGAATATCTCCCACCTTGTCTCTCCTCTGCCACTTCTTGTCTATGGAAATATGGCAGAGACATAGCTAACAGGAGCCAGGAGAGAGGAAGTCTAGAAAGTCTGTCAGAAGAGGGAGCCAGCTCCCGAACACCAGAGAGTTGAGTTTCAAGTTCTGATTTGGGGAAATCATCCACATGGCTGTCATGGAAGCTATTTGGGGCATTTCATAATTGTTATTTCAGGGTTCCCCAACTCCCGCCATTTATAGATTCTCCACCACAAAAGCCATCTATCCATCCTTTTGGGATGACAAAAAGTTTGGAACTAGATAGAGGTGTTGGTTGCACAACAATGCCGCGGATACTCTATGCTAAGGAACTGTATACTGAAAACGGTTGAGGTTACGTGATTTTCACTTCAATGAAAAACAAACACCATCTATCCACCCACAAGTTGAGCACACAGGCCTGTTTTATTTCATGACCAAAACTTCTGACGTGCCAACATGTGTGAATCCTTGAAGTCTGCTATTTGCTCTTCTAAGTTCCCCACTCCACTCTCAGGACGCTCACCTGCATTCTTCAGGGTTACTTTTGGCTTCATCCGTACAGCGATAGAACTTCCCCTGGATACAAAACAGACAGGCAGTCAAGTAAATGCAGGCTTCTCCTTAAAGAAATCCACCTGAGTTTTATGCTTGGAGGCAGTTCCTCTACCTTGAACAACTGGACCCCGATACAGGCAAACATGAACTGGAGGAGGGTGGTGACGATCATGATGTTGCCGATGGTCCGGATGGCCACGAAGACGCACTGGACCACGTGCTGCGGAGAGGGCAGAGGCGTGTGACTCTCCTTTGTGATTTTGGCCTCAAGGTGAGCTAACATCAGCCAAGAGTTTCTGTGTTGGCCGGACGCAGTGGCTCACATAATCCCAGCACTTTGGGAGGCAGAGGAGGGCAGATCACTTGAGGTCAGGAGTTTGAGACCAGCCTGGCCAACATGGTGAAACCTCATCTCTACTAAAAATACAAAAATTAGCTGGGCATGGTGGCTGGCGCCTGTAATCCCAGCTACTTGGGAGGCTGAGGCAGGGGAATCACTTGAACCCGGGAGGCAGAGGTTGCGGTGAGCCGAGATCATGCCACTGCACTCCGGCTTAGGCGACAGAGCAAGACTCCATTTTGGGGGGAAAAAAAAAGAAAGAAAGAAAAAGAAAAAGAAGAAATGCTACAGGTGCAGTGCTGCCTGGCACATGGGCACATGGACCCTATAAATGACTGAGGAACATAGAAACCCAGTAGCCTTTTATACAGTCTACATGAAAACGGAAAGATTAAAATAAACACAAAGAACTACTAATAAAAAGGTAATAAATGAACAACAATTATAAAGAAAAACATCTTCAATTACCAAAAATAAAGAAAATAAATCATAATTTTTAACATGCCATTAGCACTTGGCACAGGTGGCTGCATTGGTTAGAAAGGTCCTTATAACCCACTTTAAAAATCCATCAGGCCTCAGCTCAGCTCTGCCCAGAAGAGCCAGTAGTTACAGCCAACCCCAACCCAAGCCAGCCCAGCCTGGAGGAGAGGAATCAAAACCTTAAGTCCTTTTGCTCTGTTGATGGCCCTGAGGGGCCTCAGGACCCTTAAGACTCTCAGAATCTTCACAACAGAGATGGCACTGGATCTAGGGAAGGAGCAGAAAGATGGCAGGCAGAGTGTGTTATAAATGGACAGGATGCTTTGAGATTCACCATTTCACTGGATCTTCACCTTAGTATCCCTGCACAGTTAGCATGGGATCCATGTGGTGCTGGGCTGATCTCTCTCCGTGACTCAGAGGCGACCTCTTCCCTGCCCACACGAGGCAGTGCCTCCCAAGCCCAGCCCATGGCACTCCCAGAGGTGACAGGTGCACAGCTAACCTTGGCAGACACACAACTCATGAACTCTCTTTGTTCTTTCCACTCACTGTAAAAGCTAGGTAGTGACTGGCTTTTAGGCTTCATAGATGGTTTGTTTCTGTTTAAGGTTGGAGGCCTGCTGTACCACTTTGGCACCAGGGCTTCTCTGGCCTTCAAGGAGCTCAGAGTCTGGTGGAGAGATGGGCAATTCCAACCCAGTATGGCTCATGACAGGGGTAAATGTGGTGTGCTTGGCCAGGGGAGTACAACCTATGGGAGTTGGGAGGAGCCTGGGAAGGACTCTGGGGTGGGGGTGGTGATAGCCAGGTGAGTCCCAAAGGAGGAGTAGGGGTTAGCAAGGACAATAGGGAGGGGGGCTCAGTGTGAGGGAGCAGCACGTACAAGGATGCGATACAAGAGAATGCAGCTTTCTGCTGCACCCCAGATGGCCGAGTGTGGCCACAGCACATGCTCAGGAGGAAGTGGGCAAGACTGCAGCTGGAGAGGACATGAACAGCCTGCGAGTTAATAGGAGCTGCAAAGATGTTAATGCAAATGGCCTTCCAAGCTATGATCACAGGGCTCCCTCAGTGGGAGGCGAGGAGGACCACAGAGGGCTGTTCCAGGCAGAGGTTCTTGGTCTTCCTAGGAGGGTAGGTCCTTTCCACTTCTCTTTAGCTTAGAGGGCATGTGTGTGCATGTGTGCTCACATGGGGGATAGTCTATGCTCAGCACCTGAACAGAAGTGCTCACAGGTCAGCAAGAAAGCAAGGCCACACCTGATGCTCTACTGGAGCCTCTGCCCCACACCCCCGGGGATGGCGAGCAGTACTCAGCAATGGCTGTTCCCACCAGAAATTGCTAAATGCCATGGAAAAGACCTGGGGCCCTGACTTTTAGCCTTGGCTCCCTCCTAGCTGAAAAATTTTGGAGGCCAAAGAAAAAGTCCTAGCAGGTTCTGTATCCTGAAAATCAAAGGAAGTTTTCAATATCCAAGCTGGAAAAACTGAGAGGCCACCTGGCCCCAGCCCCTCCTATATAAAAGGGGCACAGGGTTCCTGAGAGAAGACATCCTCAAGGCCCTGGAATCAGCCTTTGGAGGGACCAGGACTAGAACCTATATTCCCTCCCTCCCAGTCAAGACTTCTTTTACCTCAGTTGAAAGCAAATTTCACAGAGAGTAATAAGCTCAACCTAGCAGCAGGCGCACACACACACACACACACACACACACACACACACAACCCACAAGAAAACATGAATTGTCTCAATGCTCTCTGGAATGCGAGCAAATTAAATAAACCTATATAACTAAATATAGTCATGAAAATGATGCCTAGCCTTTATCAATTATGTTAAAATCCCTTACATAAACCATTCAGCCCAACAGTTCTGGGCACACACCCCGGAATACTTACTGAATCCCAAATGACACCAGAGACACCCCAACCACCAGCATATCCAGCAAATTGAAGTAGTTCCTGCAGAAGGCCCCTTTGTGGAGGAAAGCTCCAAAAGTTGTCATCTAGAAGCAAATCATGGGTGATTTACCACTTTTTGTGTCCAGAGGAAAAGAAACCTGGGCTCTTTACAAAATCTTAAGTAAAGTATGACTTTGTTAACAAGTGTGCATTAAGAAGTCAGAAATGTAAACCAATGGGGCTGAGCCACCGGATAATTTGTTCAAACAAAAATCAAAAGGGGGCAGCTTATTTTGGATACATTTTAAAAGAAGAAACCAATTTAGGCTTTATTACAGCCATCACAGGTTTCAAATATGAACACACTGTTGGCATGTCCAAAGAGCCTGTCTAAGAGAGGCTCCACACGACTACATTCGTCAAGAGGTAAGTGCTGCCCAGACAGCCCACTTTCCCACAAAGCGCTGGTTCTGGCCCCTCTGAGGCCCTGGTAGAGCCTACCTTGTTTCAATTAAGACTTCCCAGTGGGGGCTTGAATTCAGGGCTCCCAGGCTCTATGAACCTACATCACTTTTCCACATAGGCCCCTTATTGTTCCTAATGGTCTTTAATGACACATCCGTCTTAAGCAATTCCTCCAAGTCTGATGACATGTGTCAGGCATGGCTAGGAAGCCAGGTGGCATCTCACCTGAGCCAGTCTCACGACTCTGGGCTCACCTGCCATATGTACCTGGAGCACATATTATGGGTGCTCCAGTGAGATTTCTATTGGTGATGGAAAAAAGAGTTTAGTTCCCCAAAGTAAGAAATAGCAAAATATATACAGTTCACTATTTATTTTAAAACAAAAAGGGTTAGAGAAGGCTCAGATAAGTACGGTATAAGAGAGGTAGAGGTGGGAAATATTACATTGAACCTTATGAAATCGCCAGTGTTCGACCCTTTTTGACCTACAAAAATGGCAATCTCACAGAGCTTAAGCAAATAACCAAACAGCCTTCCAAATCTCCCCGAGGCCACCAGGAACCAGAGCCTCAGATATTAGACACTTCTGGATGAGTCTCCATTTTCTGAATCCTTCTTGTTTTAGCTTATTTTCCATTCTCTAAAATAGCTTCAAAATGAAGAACGACTCAGAAGATTTAAGTCAGTGAAGCAATTCTACACAAATTAAAAAGTAACAATCATTTTTTTTCCTTTTAAATAATCCTGTGTTTAATTTTCCCCAAAGCCCATGAGTAACTATATTCATTTAACAACTTAAAAATGTGGAGAGTAAAATAAAACATCAATTAACCAGGCTAACAAACTAAGTAGAACATATCCCCATTCACTTTGAAATGAAGTCAAATTCTAAAACCAAGAAGCTGAGGCAGAAGCCGAGCTGGTCAGTGTTCTGGTGGCACCCCTCTGACCCCCACCACGTGCATTCTGCATCCACAGGCCCTCCCACAGAGGCCTCATCAACAAGAGCTAGTCACTGTCCCACTGCACACCTCTGACTCAGGAGAACTGTCAACCAAATTCATCGGCTTAAAGGCAGGAAAATGAACTCAAATTTTTAGAAGATTTTAAAGAAAGGTGTAAACAGATGTTGGTTGACTTTATGCTGTTTCATGAACCAAAAAATAAAAAATTTTAAAAAACCAACCTCAAAAAACTAACCACCTCATTCCCTGACATTGAGGTTTCATTTTATATAAGATTTTGTAAAGAGCCCAAGTTCCACAGTAGTCCAGTGCAAAATACATTTTGCCTGAGTTGCACACACAAAAAATCCCCCAATGGCTTAAAGAAAACCATGGTTGAAAGTCTTCATTTCCCAGCTTGTCTCCCTGCTAGGAGATGGTTACCCTGACAGTTCTGATGGGCCACGTTCTCCCAGAACCAAAGTGACCCACACCCTCTGGTTCTTGGCCAGTTGTGGATAGGTTCTTGGAGCTTTGCTGTGGTCTCCAGCACTCTAAGCACATGAGGAATGGGCTCCCCATGGGGTAGACTTCACAGTCAGTACGCAAAACACATGCAGCAATGGCAGCTATTAGCTCATGCATGGGCAGTACATTTAGGTCACCCCGGCCAAAGGGCGCTCCTTTTGTGTAAATGTAAGCCCATCCATTAAAACAGACAGAAAATACCTTAACACAAATAGACCCAAGTCATCTTGCAAATCCTATTGCAAGAAAATAGCGTGTTACTATTTTAGGCCCCCAAAAACACAGTGCAGTTAGAGAAACAAAAAGAGAGACATCCTCTTCATAGGATAAATGCTTTTCCTCTGACTTTGATGTCAGAAAGGGTGGAAAAAAGTTCACACACAGTGATATATCTGTTATCAGTTGACAAATTCCAGAGGGTATTTTTTTAAAGGAGCAAAATATAATTGTCAACCATTATCATGAAGCCAGAGTAGCTCCTACATGCATTCAAAGATTAAAAAGAAAGAGCAAAAACAAGTTGTAATGGTCACAGGAAAAAAAAAAAATCCTTTGGTAAAAAAAACTTAGCTCAACCACAAAAGACAAAAAACCCATAAAAAATCAAAAGCACTCCACGCTTCTTTCCTGTGTATCACACACAGGAGCAGCCCTTAAACACACTGCCGGGTAACCTGTTACCTTTAAAATGATCTCAAATGCAAAAGTACCAGTGAAGACATAGTCTGCGTAACCTAGCATCTGGAAGGCAAACAAAGAAGTGCAACTATTATTGCTCCAGCTGCTGTGGAGTATGTGAAGATCAAGGAAAATCCATTACCTTCAGCAGGATCTCAACAGTAAAGATGGCTGTGAAGGCATAGTCAAAGTAACCCAGTATCTGCAAGGCACAACATGTGGGAGTGAGAAAAGGCATTCAGACAAACTCTGACAGCTGCACACTTACGGGCAGAACCCCCCCATGCAGTCAGAGACCCATCCTCCCAGGAAAACCCCGCCATTCTGAAGGTAAGTGCAGAGCCACTGGTAAATGCCCACTTTGGTCAATTACCTCATTCCCAAAGAGCGTTCGAGAATCCTGACCTCCTTTAACCACTCACCCTGACTTGCTTCCCGGTCTTGTGTCTCGGACAGGCAGAGAGGCTCATTTCTAAGAGTGCTTTGTTAACAAGCTTTTCTCATCAGAGAGCACTACATCTACAAATGACTTGTGGCACCAGATAAATCAGAAGCTTATACGCATTTTGGATTTTTAACCGCGTTTCTGGCTGAATGAAGTATGTTGCCCTTCATCTGAGCATCAGATCAGTGGAGAAGCATAAATGAAGACGGCAGTGGCATCTGTCAGAGCCAGTGGTTTCCCCATGCTCCCTTGCATTCCAGCCTGTGTAATCAGGGTGTCAGCACCCTTCCCCGCCCATGCGCGGGGCTGGCTAAGTCTGCAAGGGATGGTTTTACAGACTGCCTTCCTCCCGCCCATTGTTCTGCATCTAACACTGCTCTCTCTAAACTGAGGTTTTTTTTTTTAAACCTTGCTGGGCCCACTCAAGTAACAGACTGACTTGGTCTTTGAATTTTCAGTCTAGGCAACTCTATCCACATTGGTGACAATACCATCTATTATCCCATCGACAGAGTCCTGCTAGCCCTTTCTGGGGTCCCTGCTTCTCCTTGGAGCCGTGGAGGCAAGTGGACCAGCAGCAAGAAGTCTGACCACCAAGAAAGCTGCTCACAGGGAGCTTCTGACCACAGCACCCTTATCTGCAAAGGCGAGTTGGTCTTGGCCACTGATCTTCATGACAACTATGATCTATGGCTTTGAAAGAACTGAAGAGAGCAGAGCTGGAAGGGACTGTGGAGACCACCGAGGCCTAATCCTTTAACAGATGTGGCTGCTGGGAGCAGGGAGTGAACACACGCATAGGCCACGCAGCCAGTCACAGGCACTGCTGAGCAAGGAGTAGGCCTGGGGTATGCCAGTGGAGAGCCAGAGGGGTGAGGTGTTGTAGGTAGAGGAGTCACCTGGGGGCTGTGTCACAATAAGGTGAGGACCTCTGCTTCAAGCCCAGTCTGTCTCTTCAGAGGGTATTCATTTTCCAAATGGTTTCTGGTTTTGGACTTATGAACTCCTGTGTAACACAGTTTCTTGGCCAGGCAATGGAAGGTATCTTCCCATGCACTACCAGGCCTCAGCCACCTTCTCTTTACTCCTTCCTAGGTCACAGTGGGAATATTAACATGGAAAGCATCAAGTAGCTCAGAAAGACACTGCAGCCTATGAGTCTACGAGGCAGCCTGGCGCCCGGGCTGAAGTTGAGATTTAAGCTGGTTTTTTTCCTCACTCGGCTTGCATTCTCTCACTCTCTTCTTTAAAAGAAGAATTCGGCTAAGGTTAAAAAATATACAAACACTGCAGAATCTAAAAAGCAATACACATATACATATGTACATCTATTTAAGCAGAACGCTAACATTTTTGGGTAAGGCAGCAGGGAAATAAACTTATGGAGAAGCAATTATAATTAAAAATAAGACATGAAGCCCCCATGTAAATTAATCCCTTGGCAATGCGTATTTTAGACTAGCTCTTGGCCTACTTTGTCACCTAACACTGTTTTTTTCCCAAACACCGCCCTTGTGTCCTTTTTTTATGATGGGATGAAATGACACAGAGGTCTTTCTTCTACTGGGACATCTATAGCAACAAAATCCTCTCTAACAAAAACCCTAATCTGTGGGGACAAATCAAGACAGGCCCAGTGCCTTCCTCTTTATATTGACACTGACACGCACCATGGGGAAAGTACTTTTTCTCTTCATATCAGAGTGCGTGTTTCATAAATCTGACAGGTTGGACTTGCCAGGCTCCAGAAATGGGAAGCAACAGCATGAGGCTTGGCTGCCCCAACAGAGTCCTGGGGGCACAGATGTGCTGGTATGTCTTAATCCTAAACTCTCTAACAATCTGATGCTCAGAAAAAGGCGCCCACCAGCAAGCCAGGGACACCTGAGGGCCTTGCACACTCGCCAGCCTCCCTCTGCTGGTTGGGTTTCTTGGTAATAATCTGAAATTGCACAATAATATCTAGGCCTGAGAGTCAACAGGCTGCCGCGTCTAGCTGTCTTGACTTTGAATGGTCCTCAGTGCCAAGTAAGCTGCACAGCTAAGGTGGGGCTGCTGCGGCAAGAGCCAGTTTAGGTGCAAGTTTCCTTCCAACATAGACACAGTCGGTGGGCACCATCTCTAAGTTACAAAACTGACAACTAACAGAAAACCCTCGACTTGCTTGTATTTTTGTTTGTATGCTTTTTTGAGACAGAGTTTTGCTCTTGTCGCTGAGGCTGGAATGCAATGGCATGATCTCAGCTTACTGCAACCTCCGCCTCCCGGGTTCAAGCGATTGTCCTGCCTCAGCCCCATGCATAGCTGGGATTACAGGTGCACACCACCATGCCCAGCTAATTTTTGTATTTTCAGTGGAAATGGGGTTTCGCCATGTTGGCCAGGCTGGTCTTGAACTCCTGACCTCAAGTGATCTGCCCGTCTCGGCCTCCCAAAGTACCGTGATTACAGGTGTGAGCCACTGCTCCTGGTCCCTTGACTTGTTTTCTTAGTACAGTTGGTATCCATAAGGGATTGGTTCCAGGACCCTCTCAGACCCCAAAATCTCAAGTCTCTGATATAAAAATGGTGTTGTGTTTGCATATGATCTATGCACATCCTCCTGTAGACCTTACATCATCTCTAGATTTCTCAAGATACTCAAGGTCATGTAAATGCCATGTAAATTATTTAGGAAATGACAAGAAAAAAATCTGCACAAATTCAGTACATTTTTCCCCCAAATATTTTGTTTTTTTCCTTTTTGAGACAGAGTCTCACTTACTCTGTTGCCTAGGCTGGAGTGCAGTGGTGTGATCTCAGCTCACTGCTGCAACCTCCGCCTCCCATGTTAAGCGATTCTCATACCTCAGCCTCCCAAGTAGCTGGGACTACAGGCGCGCACCACCACACCTGGCTAATTTTGGTATTTTTAGTAGAGATGGGGTTCCACCATGTTGACCAGGCTGGTCTCAAACTCCTGACCTCAAGCGATCCACCCACTTTGGCCTCCCAAAGTGCTGGGATTACAGGCGTGAGCCACCACGCCTGGCCACCCCCAAACATTTTCTATTGGTGGTTGGTTGAATCTATGGATGCCAAACCCATGGATACAGAGAGCTAACTGGATAGCCACCTCTGCCACGCCAAAATCTAGAGTTCTTTTTGTTTGTTTTTTTTTAGAGACAGGGTCTTGCTCTATTGCCCAGGGTGGAATGCAGTGGTGTGAACACAGCTGACTTCAGGCTCAGCCTCCTGTGCTCAGGCAATCCTCCCACCTCAGCCTCCCAAGTAGCTGGGACAGGCATGCGCCACCACGTGTGGCTAAGTTTTAAATTTTTATATAGATGGGGTCTCACTATGTTGCCTAGACTAATCTTGAACTCCTGGGCTCAAGTGATTCTACTGCCCTGGCCTCTCAAAATGCTGGGATTATAGGTATGAGCCACCACGCCCAGCCAATTAATAACTCTTTGCATATTCCTAATTCTACCAATGAAAAGTAACATTGTAAACAGCCAAGTTAACATGTAAGGGTCCAAGTGGCTCTGCCTGGTGCACTCTGCTTCATGGAGTTACTCAAACTTAATACTGGCTCCTGGGGCCAAGGTTAGCACTTCCTTCGGAGATACTTGTGAAATATATAACATAATCACATATTTTATAATAAATATTCCCAGAGAAGAAACTTTTTAACATTCATTATATATATATTTTTTTTTCTTTGAGACAAGGTCTCACTGTATCACTGAGGCTGGAGTGCAGTGGCGCAAACATGGCTTGCTGCAGCTTCGACCTCCTGGGCCCGAGCGATCCTCCTCCCTCAGCCTCCTGAGTAGCTGGGATGGCAGGTGTGTGCCACCACATTCAGCTAATTTCTTAATTTTTTGTACAGATGAGGTCTCACTACATTGCTCAGGCTAGTCTTGAACTCCTGTCCTTCAGTGATCCTTCCCCTCTATCTCCCAAAGCACTGGAATTACAGGTGTGAGCCAGTGCACCTGGCCTAACGTTCTTCTCCACTGAACACCTCAACTCGACATCCTATCATCTCCCTAACTTGTATTTCTCCTCAGTTGTGGAGCCTAGCAGCATCATGTAGTTAAGTCTACACGACATAGGAATCTTGCCCCCAACCTTGAACGAGAGAGCCTGGGCATGTGGCATGCCTGGTTTGAATTCTGCTTCCTCCCTGCCGTGTGCGTCCACGGAGCATGAATCTCAAAACGGGTGAGTACAAACCTGAGCAGGGAGGGAAAGGAGGACCTAAATATTGGCAGTAGGGAGCAAAGAGGAGGAGAAGCAGGCTCCCTGAATTCACTGAGCATTCCTGCAGAGTATTTAAGATGAGGTTCGAAATTAATGATTCCATTCAGATGTATCCAGCTATAACACAAGCTCTCTGGCACTTACAAACTGGAAACAGCCAACGTCCCCAGCTGAAGGAAAGACCTACTCTAGCTGTCACCTTGAGGGGCCTCCACAGCTCCCTTCTCCACAGTGGCCTCTGCCTGAGAGAGGCCAGGGCTATCCCAGAGCGAGCCCCACCCTGGGGACTTACTGTGTTCCGGAAGGAGTGGCTGCGGATGGGGTCCTCTGCGGCCAGAGCGGCGCTGCTCAGCATGATGAAGACGAGGATGAGGTTGGTGAAGACGTGGTGGTTGATGAGCTTGTGGCAGCCCACGCGGATCCTGCAGGGAAAAGCAGCTGCTTGGAAACAGTCCCAGAGAGGGTGGAACACACTGGGTCCTTAAGAGTGTGGGGCCAGTGCAGCAAGATGCCAGGCAGAGGGCAGCTGTCTGCTGTGCCCTCTCTCCGGCACACCTGAGCAACCTGTCTGTCAGCCCCACGAAGCCCACCAAAAGCAGCCCCCGTGGACCATGTGTGGTGTGTCAACTCTGTGCTGGGGGCGCCACACTGAGTCCTTGGAAGTGGGGCTTGTTGTCTTTCTCAAGATGGGGAAACTGAGGCTTAATCAGAGAATTCTAAAGTGACACTAGCAAGGCCAGGGGCAGAATTGATCCAGCTCTATATGACTGAAGTTTTTCCACTATGACAAGAAGCTCATCTGTTTATCTTCCCTGACGGAGAGAAGAAACTGAGGCCAGGTCTGCCCTCGACAGTTCACACAGAATGAGATGAATCCTGGGCTTGTCCTGCAGGTGCAAGTTCATACTATTTATAGGGGCCTGCAGTAACTGAGGCTTCAGGACATCTCTGGCCGTCTGCAGATTTTGTAATACATGTTACCATTATTTTTTTAAATTTTGGAGTGGACCCACAAGCAGTCCTCAGAAGGTGAAGGTTGCAGCATCATTTGCTAACATGCAAGGATCTCATGGCCCAGCATGAGAGTTCTCACCAAGTCCTGTGGTCTCGTGAAGCAAAGGAGGGCAGCTCATGCCCGACACCTGGGCTCAAACGATGGCTCTCTGGGCCATCAGAACCTCGCTGCCGTCCCCAATGTGCCCTGCACCTGTTAGCAACTGGCTATCCTTACCCTCAATGTTTGACTTTAGAATTTAAACATATATACACACACACATATGTGTGTGTATATACATATATGCATATGTATATACATATTCGTGTATACATAAAATATGTATGTTTAAATTGTAAAGTATATGTATGTGTGTATACATATATATGTTTGTATATATTTAAATTCTAAAGTATATATGTGTGCGTATGTATACAAACCTATCTGTAGTCTGTAAGAGGCTTATAAGCCTACAGATGGGTTTTCCTTTGAAAATATTTTTCCACTTTCAAAACTGGAGTCAACCTTATGTGAAGGTGACCCCTCACTTTAAGTCCTGCCTTTTGGATCTATTTAATGCTGGGCGTATCCCCCAGAGGACCTGAAGGTGGTTAGCAGTTGAGTCTGGGGAAGAACTTCCAAGCTAGTGAGGGCAGGAGTGCTTTGCGGCTTTGGGTGAAAATAAGTCCATTCCCTCAACATATATATATATATATGTTGTGTGTGTGTGTGCGTGTGTATATATATATATGTATGTGTGTGTACACACACACACACACACACACGGGGCTGTAGGTGTCAGCAATATCAGTTTAATAACCTTTCTTTTTTAAAGGACACCCAAATAGTGGTGAGCTGTAAAAGCTACCATCATATCTTCATATCTCTGAGGATGCCAGCAGGCCTTGCTTCCCACCTGTCTCCCTACGGCCAAGGAATGATACAGAGTTGTTCTCTGACAGCCAGGAACTACTTCTGCAATTCTAGAAACCTTTCCAGGAGCCATTTATCTCCCCTAGCATTCCACTCAGTCCCAGATGATTTAAAACCTAGAAACTAGCTAGTAAATAAACGTCTTCCTCTTATAGTACTTGTGAGTCATTGCCCTGTTCCTTGTGAGCACCTTATCATTTTAACATGAGAAATGCTATTTTAAGTAGGCTATCATAGAGCTGAACTGAATACTTACAACCTATAAAATATCACTGTGCAATATGACTTTATGATGATAAAACTCAACTGGGAAAACTGATCAACGAAGTGGGGGATCTATGAGGATGAGGATGCTATGCAGACCTTGGTCACAAAAATTCTCATCCCACAAGGCATCCTAACAGAAGATCCACTCGTTAGGAAACATTGCCATGGCTGGCCAAAGCATGGAACACCAGAGCAGTGGGCTCCAATTGGAATATGCTGGGGTGGACAAGGCTTTCCCCGTTGCTGTCCCCACGCAGGGGTGAAGGCAGGGAGGAGAATCTAGAATGGAGCTCCTCCCAGGACCTGGTCACACCCTTGCGGGAAGGAGGCAGCTAGGAAGAGATGAGCTGAGAGCAAGAGCCACAGTGGAGGAGAGAGGGGTTGGAGGGGACTTGGGTGAGGGCGCCAGGGACACTCAGGTTCAGAAAGGGCTGTGAACCACTTCCCCTCACCCCCACCCGAGCCACCCTCAAGCAACCTGTAGGGTCACTGGCAAGAGGCAGCCGTGAGAGACTAGAAGGGGAGTATTTACGGGTTGGTCTTGCTAAGAATGAAGAAAGCGCTCCCTTCAGGGATGGGGGCAATTTTTTCCTTCATGTTCAACTCCGAGATCCTTCGAGGACGGGGTCCGGCAGGAACCTCAGGTTCATCCTCCTCCTCTTCCTCTTCCTCTTCCCCTACTTTAAATGAAATACTTTTTTTATAGGCATGAAATAAAGACTACATATGGGTTTGAATTATTCTTAATTTCACATGCAAATTTGGCTTAAACTTTAACAACAGATGTTGTTCGATTCATGCTTACATGAATCGAAACCCTCCTGCTCCTTCAGAATGTGGACTGAGTGTGTGTTGCAGGGGTGAGGGTTGCTGAGAAGTGTCCCCACCTGGTGAGCGTGTTTAGTTTGTGGGAATGATGAGATTCCCACCAGGATAAGATCTGACCACAGATGAAAGGTGGCGGTGCTGGGATTCTCACTGCCAACCTCCCAGCATCTGGCTGTTTCCCCAGTAACCTCCTGGTTTACCCTGGCCTGAGAAACTGTGTGGGACTTTCAGTCTCAATCAGCAACTAGGCTCTCAACTCCACAGTCCCACCCATATCAGCCAATAAAGGTGCCAGTCAAATGTAAAAGTGTCAGGTGAGCACTAACACCGGTGGGTCTCCTGGACCAGTCTCCCAAAAGAAGTTGGAACTGCCCTGACCCCCCTGCACTTTCCCTCCCCATCACCTGGAAGTTGGGTGACACATGCTGCCTGTGACCATGGGAAAAAGGGGAGCTAACTGGTTCCACGGCCTTGGTGGCCTCAGCGGCTCATGTACACGCTGCTGGGCTGGCTGGCCGCAGACTCAGCAGGTCACAGAGCAGTAGCAAAGCCACACAGCAAAGCCAGCGCCTCCGGCCTCTGCCACCATACCTGGCACATCGCAAGGTGGGTAGGGGTCCTTGTCTTCATCCTCTTCTCTATAGTCATCGATTGTAACCTAGGATGACAGAGACTTCTTAGGAGGAGGGGAGACTAACTAAAATGCACCCAGAGAGGAGAAGTCACCCTGGCCGTCCAGCATAGGGCATGGATTCCTCCCCAAAGTTGCGTCTGTATGTGGGTGTGCAGGGACAGACGGGTGTCCCCGGATGGTGATTCTGCTTCAGAGAGACGTCCTAAGGGCAGGTGAGGAGAAGGCTGGTTAAGCCCTGACCCAGTCGTAGTTAGCCAGCATCATCCAGGGCTCTGTCCTTGCCCTGTGCCAGCGGTCACTCATACCATGTGATAACGCATCTCACACTCCTGTCTTCCTGCCAGACTGTGAGCCCCATGAAGGCAGGGACCTGTCTTCTTCATTCCTGAATCCCCAGTGTCTGACACACGATAGCCACTAGGTAAGCATCGATGAACAAAGAAAGAACAACACAACCAGGGCTGTCATAAATGGGATTAAGTTTGACAGTGTAGCCCTGAAGCCACCCGACCCTGGGATTACCTCAGGAAATAGACCTCTATTAAAAACGAAGCTGCTCATGTGATCCTGGTCAGATTGCACAATTCCAATAAAGAAACAAAAGTGGTCAAACTAGTCAAATCTTCATCATATTGGTTTTCTGGTGAAATATCAGTGAACACAGCTAACTGCCTAAATTCAAGCAGAACCCCCTGGGAAGCCAGGGTCTATATGGTGTGCTATATTCTTCACACCAAAATATTACAAGAATGATACACAAGACACTCCTACAGTGTAAATGGTACATGTATGGAGATACCAACAGAATCACTTTGAAACAAAAAGGGGAGAAGTATCTTAGAACACATACCTTGTTGTCACTGTTGGCCACCTGGTTGACTTCTGGTTTGTTGTTCTTTTTATTTTCTAGGCTCTCTTTTCTAAAGAGAAGAGAAAAGAGCACAAGAAACCAAATAACCATGTTACTCTGTATAAAAATGCTAATCAGGATTCTGAATCAACAATGGTCCAATGAAGGACAGAATTTAATTAGAAACAACACTAACCACAAGAGCCTAGCACAATCCAAACTCAGAGCTTCCTGGTAATCTCAATGCGATGGATTCATTACACAGATCATCTTATTAAAATTCTCATCTGAGAGCTAATCAGCATTGAATGCATCGTTTATTTTATGACGCCAAAATTAACTGCAGTGATTCTTTAAGCATGGGGACATGTGACTCCCACTCTCAACTCCAAGGGATGAGAGCCAAGAGCCTGGCTTCTGCCCAAGATTCTATCCATTTTGGTCTGCAGTGCATGGTCAACCATGATCCACAAAGCAGGAACCTGGGGGGCTGCAGCTGCCGTGATGCGGGGGTGAGCCTGGCAGGCTGCACTTGTAGGAGGGCTCCCCACGCAGCCCCTAGACAAACACGTCAGGGGAAAATGGGGTTACCTGGCAATCTTTTTCCTCTCCTTTTCTTCTGCTTCTTCTTTCTGAGCAGTGTTCAAACTTTCAGCATCAGCCAAATTGTCTACAGCGATGGCCAAGAAGACATTCAGTAGAATATCTAGTTTGAACTTTTTAAGGGCTCAACACACTACTAAATGCAACTACATGTGGCCAACAATGGCAACGTCACACCCCTCTGCATCCTGGGAGGCTGGTAGCAAGTGACTGTCCCAAGTGTTATACTCACACAGCAAAACTAGAGTACCAGAGCCCTGCTTTTCAAACAAAACGAAACAACAACAAAAATAAACATAAAAACCTGTAAAAGGACAGTCTATAGAAGTAAAATTAAGATTCACTAAAATCCATGAAAACCCACTAATTTCAACATTCCTCTGTGTGTGTGTGTCCAAACATCTATGTATCTATAGCTATGTTATACATTATATACAACAATCTATAATATAAACATGGTATAATGAAAAAGTAGTTTGTTTGTTTGTTTGTTTTTTTAACACATACTACAACTACAACATATATCTTCAGGGGAGTGCTTTCCAAAATAGACCACTTCAAAGGTTGCAAGTTATTCAAATGAGGATCCCCTTGCACAAGATAGTATGAGAATTTCTCCTTTGAAATAACCTTCAGAGTCTACAGATAACTCATTCATTCCTTCATTCCACAAACACTGACTGACTATAATGTGCCTGACTTACTGCCACCTGGTGCTAGACTATCGTGAATAGTCTCACTGCAGCTCGATCTTTGATCACTGTACCTGAACTTGATTTTTGCCCTCTCCAGTCCAGGACAAATTGCTTCCTGAGGCTCATTGCAGTTCCAGTTAAAAAACACAATAAAAGGTTAGGTGACTAAACAAATTATCATGTTTTTTCACTCTTACTATAATTGTTTTATACATGACTTTCTTGAATTTTTTTTTTGTTTGTTTGTTTTTTTTGAGACGGAGTCTCACTCTGTCGCCCAGGCTGGAGTGCAGTGGCCGGATCTCAGCTCACTGCAAGCTCCGCCTCCCGGGTTTACGCCATTCTCCTGCCTCAGCCTCCCGAGTAGCTGGGACTACAGGCGCCCGCCACCTCGCCCGGCTAGTTTTTTTGTATTTTTTAGTAGAGACGGGGTTTCACCATGTTAGCTGGGATGGTCGAATGTTTTTGTTTTTAACAAGTATTCTGAACAAGACTCCTAAATCAGAAGATGCCTGTTTCTTACCCATTAGCAGTGAAGCATGTTTTTGAGAAGCACAGGGATGAGAGGGCAGTAAGTGAGAATGTCCCCTTCTGCGACAAATGCTTCTCTCTGCCTGATGCCCAGCCATCTGTAGGCAAAACCGCAGGAGCCCAGAGACCCCAAGACAGGAGCAGCACAGCACTGTCCCATACGTCCTGTGCAATCTGTTACCTTGGATGGGTTGTTGAACACGTAAACCAACGTAACCTAACAAGGAACAGATGATGAGATCTCTGCGAGGGAATAGCATGCCTGACTAATCTATTCAAGGCTTTAAAGAGGAGAGAAACATAAGTGAATTACATTAAGACTCAAAAAGCCTTTGACGTGCTGGCCTATTTTTTAACTGGAGCTGCAATGAGCCTCAGGAAGCAATTTGTCCTGGGCTGAAGATGGCCTGGTAACATGAGCGTTCCTCTGCTAGGCCTGGGGTAACGGTAACTCAGACAGGGGCTAGTGATGAGACTAGCTGCAGTGAGTATTCCCTCCATGGTCTCAGTGAAGAAACAATAATCTCTCTAGTCTTGCAATGACACTCAACTCCTTTGGGTAGTGGAAAGCAAATCCAGAGTGATGAGCCACAGTAAGATCTTACAAGCTTGTAACAAACAACTTCCCAGAGAAAAATCCATCATCTGCATTGAGAGGTATTACTCAGACCCTCATAAAGAGTGGCACGCTCTGGAATTCATCCAAAAAGGTCTATCAAGCACCTCTAATGTGCCAGGCACTGTCGTGGGTGCTGAGGGCACGGGAAGAAACACCGTACACTGGAATGTCTACTCTAGTTGGGGAAGACAGAGCATAAGCAGCTCCCTAAGCCCCTCTGATATAGTCACACGTGCTATAAAGAAAACAACATGCAACCATAGACAACCACCAGGGACTATTTCTCCGCAGATTTAAGTCCAGGAAGTTGTTGTGGCCTAAAGAGTCAACCATGAGGACAGCAGAAAAAGAAAAGAATGACCATTCATTTACCAAGGGCCAACTATGTGCAAGATCCTGTACTCTACTGAGATATGTGAATACAAAAAAGATTCCTGACTCAAGAAGTTTATCCATCTAGTTAGGGAGATGGAGGAATGCTCGTTCAAAATTCCAATAGACAGGCTGGGCACAGTGGCTCTGTAATCCCAGCACTTTGGGAGGCCAAGGCGGGTGGATCACCTGAGGTCAGGAGTTTCAGACTGGCCTGGTTAACATGGAGAAACCCCATCTCCATTAAAAAAACAAAAATTAGCTGGGCATGGTGGTGCACACATGTAATCCCATCTACTCAGGAGCCTGAGGCAGGAGAATCACTTGAACCCAGGAGGTAGAGGTTGCAGTGAGCTGAGATCACACCACTGCACTCCAGCCTGGGTGATAGAGTGAGACTCCTTCTAAAAAAATAATAAATAAATAAAAATCCAGTAGACAGAAGAACCTACAGGCAGTAAGAGATGTGGATAAAATCTGAGGGGGAGCTCAGAGGTAGAAGAAACTTCTCTGGGTGGGAGACAGGGCAGGAGTGGCTCTGGTGGAGGGGGCCTTAGAGCTGAGTCAAGGGACTAGAAGGATGTATATGTGTTACGATGGGGTTTTCATAAAATACCTTATAGCACAAAGCATTGTCCTTGTAGAAAAGCGGGCAGGTTTGCACTGAGGTTACCACACTGAAGAAAATTTATCAGTGAGCCAGACAAGATAAAGGAGGAAACACCTACAGAGATCTGAGCCCCCTCAGAAGAAGAATCCAGATTAGGACCTTTTAAAATGGAAGGGTGAAGACCCAGGTGTAGTATCTTGTGTGTATGTCGTTCATGCATCAAACATTCATTAAAGGCCTCTGTGTACCAGGTCTGGTGCTCGGCATGGAGGACCTGGAGATAAAACATCGAGAACCAAAGGCTGCAGGATCAGGAAGGGTCTGAATGAGGTAAATACAGATCCAAGGGCCAATTCCAGGTCTAGAATTAGAGAGTGCCTCTTGACAGGGAAAACGAGTAACGTAAGGCAGACAGAAGTTACACAGCATGATTTAGCAGCTAGCCAATGGACACTTGATCCCCAAAGATGGACAGATCAGCAAAGTGAAATTAGCCCAGGGAGCATAGATCAGTACACGAAGATGGCTCCCATCAGTCACGAAGGGTCTTAGGAAGTGACAGATGGATGCCTAAGCTCCCGATAATTATAACATAAAGAACCACCTGGCCTTGTGCTCAGCCATCCCTCGGGACCTGTACAGGAGACATGATGCCAAACTGAGTGACCTCTGGGACCAGCACATGTGCTATCTCACGCTCCTTCCCTGGGCTTGCTTATCTTAGCCAGAATGCATCCCTCAAAGCCTCTCTGGAATTCTGCTTACAGGATGCTGTCCCCCAGCAGCATGGAAGAAAAGCAGATATTGAGCTAATAAGGTAAAGGCATTCACCTCCCTGCCACAACTACTACCACCACCATCACCACAGAGAAATCCAGAGGAAGAAAAACAAAACCAGATAACGACGGCAACAACAAAGCCTGGTCAGCTTGAAGGATACAGTTACCACAAATGAAGAGGATGATGAAGTAGATGCAGACGATCATTCCTGAAGAGGACGGGCCCCCGTAAGCCATGATGCCATCGTACATCACAGCGTTCCAGTCTTCGCCTGTCAGGATCTGAGAAGGCAAACGGGTATCAGCCAGCAGGTGGATTCACAAATGGCAGTCGCTCTCCAGAGCCCCTCGGTGGCTGCCTAGATCTGGTTTAAGCTGCCTTTCACAGTCCGGTTTGCACTGAACAAATCCATCTGTTATCCCATGGAATTTCTAAAACATTGTTTTTTAACTACACAAATAGATAAGTTAATTCTTGGAGTGAAAAAAAAAAAACCTTATACTTAAGACTTATGTTTTGTTTGTCTGTTTGTTTTTGAGATGGAGTCTTGCTCTATCACCAGGATGGAGTGCAGTGACTTGATCTCGGCTCACTGCAACCTCCACCTCCCCGTTTCAAGTGACTCTCCTGCCGCAGCCTTTCAAGTAGCTGGGATCACAGGCGACCACCACCACACTTGGCTAATTTTTATATGTTTAGTAGAGACAGTGTTACACCATGTTGGCCAGGCTGGTCTCGAACTCCTGACCTCAAGTGTTCTGCCCACCTTGGCCTCCCAAAGTGCTGGGATTACAGGTGTGAGCCACTGCACCCAGCCAAGACTCATGTGCTTTTTCATTACACCCCAGCGCAGTTTTGGTCCCTTCTCCAGAAAGCGTGCTCTTTCTGTGTCTCTCTGGAACCTTCGACTACGGATTTAAAAACGTTTACAAACAAAGAAAACAAGCACTAGGTGTCTTCTCTGAGTTTTCAGACATAAAGCGTTTCATGCTATGCAAAGTTTTCTGCAACTGGCTTGTTTTTTCATTCAACAACATACTCTGGAGACCCTCTGTGTCAGAAGGTGCACCTCGTTCTTTTAACGGCTACATAGCATTCCACATAGTCCATCAACTGTGGAAATGGATAATTATACCTATGAAATTACAGAAGCAGGAAATTCTAAATGTCTCATGTAAATTTACAAAACTACCTTAAGAGTAGATATCACCAATGACCTGAAATTTAATCTTCTCTGCTGATCGTACTCGATAATTCAATCCATGATGAAATAGAATCAGATGAACAAGAACAGTAGTGAAAAAAAAAATGCTCTCTTCCAACGACAGACAGAGCTCCTTTATCTTCAATCTGAACTATATGTTTTTAAAATTTAAACTGTTATGGATCACAACCAAACAAAAATGGGCAAATGATTTGAAAAGATAAAGTAATTCACAGAAAAGGCACTACTGATGGCTCTGAGTCATATGAAAACATGTTCAACTTCACTCCTGATAAGAGGAGTATCTGTTAAAAGTACAATGAAACGCCATTTTCACCTATCTGATGGGCATCCCAAAGCACGCTCTCCACTGAGGGGAGAGGCAGTGAGGCAATGGGCAGTGTGAAGAGAATGAGCTAATACAACCATAAGGAGAGCACTTGGGCAAGGGTTTCAACATTTAAAATGGACACACCCTCTAAAGCAGCAATTCCATTTCTGGGAGTTTGTCCCACAGATCTACAGCCAATACATGTGCCCTCTGACGCGTGTTCAGGATCACCTACCGGAGCCCTGTTTATGTGGGCCAAGACCGGACAGAACTAAATGCTTGTCAGCAAGGGACTGGTCACATGAACAATGGCACATCTGTACCACTGCATGGATACAGCATTTCGAAGGAGGGGCAGCCTTTTATGGACCAAGCAGGAAGGCTCTTGAGGACACTTGAAGAGATAAAAGCAAGATGCAAAACAGCACGTCGAGTGAGCTCCTGTCTGTGGAAAGTCACCTATAGGTAGCTTAACTGAGTTGTAGCTATCAGAAAATGTAGATCTAAGAATTCACAAGAAACTGTTTAATGGTGGTTGCTTCCTAGAAGAGGAAATTTGTGGCTGGCTGGGAGAATTATTATTCATTTGTAACATTAGAATTTTGTGCCATATGCATGCATTACCAAAAAAAAAAAAAAAAAGACAACAGTTTCTCTGAAAGAAAAAATTTTTTAAAAAAGAATGGCTGATTAGCAGCCAAAATTTAAGTATAATTCAAACAACAAAACTATGGCTTACAGTAGATTATATATGTCTCAAAATGACCAGGTGGGAAAGAATTGTCCAGATCATTCCCTTTGGTCTCTGGATTTCTTCAGAAATGGGTAAGTGACTCATCCACGGCAGAGAGCTGGGCATGGAAAGGGCCACCACAGGACCCAGCTGTCTGCTGCCTTTCCTCTCTGGCAGGGCTCTGCAGCTCTCATCACACGGGAAAAGCAATGAGGACAGGTGGATCTTTTAAACTTATCCATCAGACCCTGTCCAAGGAGGAGGGTTCTGAGCACCTCAGCTTAGAATCAGGGGAGCGTGTGCTGCTGCTCTGAGCGGCAGAGCCATCGGTGCCTCTCTGCAACCACCGTTTCCTTCTCACCACTGCCTGCAGAGGCCTCACAGGACAGGCACCCTCAGAATCTGTGTGTCCTCACTGCGTACCAGGAGGAGGACAGAAGGGCCAATGGCTGTCACAGTTCCTACCACTCTGATTCCTCCAACTACACACCAAAGCATAGAGGCATGAGAATTCGCTTCTTGTGTAAATCTATTATAACTAGGATTATAAACCGGCCTGCCAACAAAAAGTAGCAAAGAAAAAAAGAATTTTAGAGTCTATTTCAAAGAAACCTCACAAAATCAATCAAAAAGTTTTCTGAGAAGAGCTTGAGTGTGAAAAACATTTTTTAAAATTATTTTATAATGTAGCTAGAAGTTTTTAAAAAATTACATCACATAACATAGATAGCTGGAGGATGATGCAGAACAAATAACTTAAATGACACAAAATTTACCAGGCTATCATTAGGGCAGATATGAAAAAAATAGAGTCCTTTTGTCTTCCTGAGTGTGAGCAGACAAGAAGGCAGAGGAGTTTTAGCTGCTGCTCACAAAGCTTTTCGGGGAATGGAGGGAGGACTCACCTGGAACACTGTGAGAAGTGCTTGAGGGAAATTGTCAAAGGTGCTCCGCTTGGTTTGCGTTTCATCAAAATTAAACTTGCCGCCAAACAGCTGCATCCCAAGCAAGGAAAAGATGATAATGAAGAGAAAAAGCAGAAGCAACAGCGAAGCGATGGACTTCATGGAGTTTAACAAGGATGCCACTAAGTTGCTCAGAGAAGTCCAGTGCCTATAAGTCAAGATGAGGGTGTGAGCTCAGAACACCCATGCGGGACAGAGCAGAACATCACCTGCCCGGGGACATGATGGTCGCCGCCTCTTGTTCATAAAACATTTGCAGTGGGACCCACATTTCCTTACCTGGTCACTTTGAAGATTCTTAAGAGGCGCACACACCGAAACACAGAGATCCCCAGGGGAGACATGATTTCCAGTTCCACCAAGATCGTCTCAGTGATTCCACCACACACCACGAAGCAATCAAACCGGTTGAAAAGAGAGACGAAATATGCTTGGAGGCCCAAGCTGTACATTTTTACCAGCATCTCGCAGGTGAACAGAGCCAAGAGGACTTTGTTGGCAATATCTGGAAAGACAAAGGGGCACCTATCTTCAGGGTCTCCCGTAAGACACTCAGACGGCTCCTGACCCTCACACCTCCCTCCCTAACAGACCCCACAGGAAATAAGCCAATACCTTGTCTCTCTCTTCACTACCTCACCCAGGACAGAAACGTGGCCTTTGCGTGGACAGTCTGTCCACCAGGCTTTGGTCCTGCTTCTGCTACTAGCTAGGTATGTGACTCCGGAGAAGTTACTGGATTTCTCCAGGTCTCAGTGTCACTGATGACAAAATGGGAAGGGGCAGCTCATCACATAATCCTTGACACCTTCCAGCCCTAAAAGCCTACGATTCTGCATTGACACCATCAGGTTATACATATTTTTTCATTCAATCACACAAAAAAGACCTGTCTGAATTTGTTTATGGCATGACGATATCAGAAGCAGTCACCTATCAATGTCATTTCCAACAGCTGAAAATACCACCAAGCAGGCTGGAGAGGTGGAGGGAAACAGGTTTGACTGGATGAAAGGAAGGACTTTTCAAAGGCTCAAAACTGTCAAACCCAGAATGGGCTGTCTCTGGGGATGAGTGTCCCACACTCCACTGCTGGAGCATTCAAAGCAGGGGAACCAAAACCATCTGCCACAAGTACTACAGGGGAAAATGAAGCTTCCCCGATGAGCACAGGGCGAAGGGGTTATGAGGTCCCTTCCAGCTCCGAGAATCCTCGGTCCTAGGTTGGCTCAGGGTTAGGACAATTAGATGCTCAGCATTAAGCAGCTCCAAGGTGCTTCACTACGCGGCACAGACGGCACCCTCACTCCGGTAGTTGCTGTGTCTGGATGGTTCTACCAAGTTTGTCCTCACTAGAAACGTTCTGATACTTCATCGTGCAGCAATCAGATAAGACCAAATGGCAGTTGGACAGCCACAGAAATCTCTAGTTCAGAACAAAAAAGGAATGGCCTCTGCTTGTACCTTGAATCTGTGTCAACCAATCCGGTTGATTGTAGTGCTCGGAGGAAATGGTTAAGGTGTTCAGAAACACCAGGACGATAACCAGCCAGTAAAACGTGACAGACTTCACGGCGGCCCTACATCTTCTGCGATTGAATCGGTTCCAGCGACGCCAGCGTCGGCTGAAAGACAAGCAAACATTACTCCCTAGATGACAGATACAGCATCTGAGTAGCCAATAAATAGGATTGAGAGATAATTTGGCTTTCACTCTGGAGGTCCAGATTGGGGTGGGAGTGCAGGAAGTAAAGATGAGCACAAATGGCACAGAAATTAACAGACCTCATAATAAAAAGTATGTTGGTCTTAAAATGCGACTTTTAAAAGTATTACATTGACTTGATCATGCTATCAGTTTCCTTCCTTATGGCTTACAGATAACTCCAGAATCTGTCATATGCAGCCCTTAAGTGGGTTAGAAAATCTAAATATTCATAGATTCATGTGCAGATGCAAAACTATACTTGCACACATATGCAGTTCCTATATCCACCATATGGGATGTGGATCTGCTCATGCCATCAGTGCAGAGAGCCACTTCGCTTATTATACACATCTCTTGCAGCATCTCAATCACCATACAGAATTTACCAGGCAGCAAAGTGCTACAAAGCTAGTTTTTTTTTTTTTTTTTTAAAGAGCATCTTTTCAATCCTTTCTTAAATCTCTGAGGTTCCTCCAGAGCCTGGAGAGTTGTCAAAGCTGAGTAGGACATGAATTTTCATACTGAGTCATCAGGTGCCCTTTCTAACTAGTGATGCTCAAAATATACCTTTAGGAGAAAAGCCAATATTGAATCGTGTTTTCATAAAAATAAAATGAGCTGAGCCAAACAGACAAGTAGCATGTCCTCCACCCACCTTCAGTTCCTGTTTGTGATCAGAGAAAATATTTTCTCCCTTAGCTTATCTCCTCCTAGAAAACCTTCCCTGCCACAAGGGGATGGTTTGGTAAAGTGTGCCGTGAGCTGCAGCTCAGCGACCCAGATGCCATGAAAGGGCCGGCCAGTTGGTGAAATCAGTCCTCTCCAGGCTGTGCTGCCTCACTAACGACAATGGGGTACTTCCTCTGGGGGTCTGAGTCAAGAGGAATCTCCAGGCTACCCAAGCTGCCCCGGCTGACTCAGCTGTGTTGCTAGGCAAAAAGAAAATCTGTAACCCAGGAAGTGAGCAGAGAAAGAGTTGTGCTAACTCTTTACCAAAACCTGGATCAAGCAAGGTGCATTTTATTATTGCTCTTGCCGTGCAGTTTCCAATGGAAAGAGCAACTTCTAACATGTTGGCCAGCGTGGAAAAACTCTACTAAGGACTCTAAAGACTGTCCCACTCACAGCTGGGTTTCTCCTGGGACGCAAAACTCGGCAGACACAAACTAGTACTCTATTACACTGGTGAACCACAGCGTGCCTACCCATTTACATTTGATGGACCTTTGGGTTATTTCCAGCTTGGGGTAAGTATGAATAAAACTGGTATAAACATTCATGTTACAACTTTGTATGTGCATATATCTTCATTTCTCTTATACAAACACCTTAGAAGCAGGATGTCTAGGCCAAATATAAACACAGTAAATATATGTTTAAACTTTATGAGGAACTACCAAACTATTTTTTTAACGGCTGTGTCATTTGACACGTCCACCAACATTGTATGAAAGTTCCCACCAATCAGCATCCTTGTCAGAACCTGGCATTGTCAGATATTTAAATCTGATTCACTCTAATAGGCGTGTAGTGGTATCCAACTGTGATTTGAATGTGCATTTTTGTAACAACTGATGGTCATTTCATGTGCTTATTTGCCATCCACATCTCTTCTCTGGTGAAATGACTATTAAAAATTTGCCCATTTTTTATTGGGTTTTTCTATTATTGACACTCTTCTTTATGTATTAATCTTTATACATATGGGATACCAGTCCTTTATCAAATATTCTTTGTAAATATTTTTCTCCAAGTCTGAAGTTTACCTTTGTATTTTCTTTTGAAGAACAGAAGTTTAATTTTGACAAAGACCAATTTATCTGTTTGTTTTCTGTTACAGAGAGTATACTGGGTGTTGTATCTTAAGAAACCTTTGCCTAACTCAAGGTCACAAAGACTTTCTCCTACGTTTTCTTTCTGGAATGTTCATGATTTTATATTTTATATTTAGGTCCTTGTCTATTTTAAGTTAGTGTTTATAATATAGTAGGAAAATGTTTTTGTTGAAAAATAACACTCAGACAGAAAAGTACACAAATCATAGGTACATGGCTCAACGAGTTTTACCAACTGAACACGTAACCTGCATGCACATCAAGAAATGCTAGTACCGTGGGAGACTTCTTGAACTCCCTTTCTATGGAAAGCTTTTGAGCAGAAAAGCGACAAGCAGCAGCTCTCTTAGGGAAATGACTCAGAGAATAAGGAGGATTAACGGGGAGGCAAAAATCGTTACTGGGTCTTGTTGGTTTGTTTTGAGGGAGATTTTTGGCACCAATTACACTGCCCCCTAAGGCAGGCTCATAGGATTCAACTGACTGACTGCAATTCGGTATCAATGTTATAACCCATAGAGGAAAACTCAAGTCCCGAGCAATTCTACATAAAATTCAGAAGCGAGAACATACAAAGGCAACACACAGGCTGACGAAGAAACAGAAAGAAGATACTGACCTGAGTTTGGATTTTGAGATGGCTTGACTGAAAGAAAGACAAAAAGTGTTAAGATTCTGGTTCCGAGGGCTTGAGCACACACTCCCCATCATTTTAGCTGAGATATCATAAAAGCCATGCATACAGCCTGGACTTAGCACCCCTGGTTACCACAGCAGGCCAGCGGGGGCAAGGCCAGAGCAGAAATCGGGGTGCTGCCAGGGCCAGAGAAGCAGACCGAGCATCCTCGAGGCCCAGGTCAGGGAAGACTCAGCCAGATTCCCTGCGGGCCCTGGCAGCAGGCAGCGATGCAGGGGCCAAAATGAAGGCAGCAGAGTCTCTCCTGCCACTCATCTCAACAGCAGCATTTGCTGCTACTACCGCAGAAGGAGCACCGCACTAGGAGTCCCAGCGCTGCCATTCTCCCACTGGGGGAGTATGGGAAAGCAGCATGTCTTCTTGGGCCTCAGCGTTCTCATCCGTAAAATGGGGATGACAAACCCATTCTCTGTCTGCTTCACGATGTCTCAGAGAGGGCAGAGCAAGAGAATGGAGGCAAAATCACTTCACAAAGGGTTGCATATTCTGCCCATAACACATCATTTTTATGAAACTCGGCCAAGAGTAAGATTGAGTTCTCTTAAAAATGATACCTGCACTTTACAGAGATAAGACCTGAAGGATACCAGCAAGCAGCAAACAAAACCAAACTGCACAGGGCTCCCCCACAGCAGGCAGTGCCCAGCACATTCTACACTGCTGGTCCCCCCAGCCACCCCCCGCCCCGCCAGCTGCCGCAGCCCAAATCATCTAGAAAAAGCCAGTGAGTGTTAATGCAATGGTGCCTTCCATCAGGAGCAGAGGCTGGTGCAGGGCTCCAGGGAAAAAGTGCCAGGCACCGAGAAGGCAGGGCCTCGCCATCCAACCGCCAGGCCTGAGGTTAGGAAGGTCCCACGAGCAAAGGAAAACTTCAATACGTAGCACATTCTAGTCAGCAACTCTGCCACAGAAGCTCTTCTTCAAAAGCACAAATGCCAAACCCAGGCTGGAAGCAGAATCAGGCCTTTACCCCCACCGCCGACACCCAGAGGGCCCCGCCTTGGCCGCGCCTCTCCGTCTCCACCAGCACCTAATGGACACAGCAGGTGGCCGGGTTAACCACCACACTCTTCACGGGCTCTACTTACAGGAAGAGGCATGTCAAATGCCGGGAGGGGATGTGCAGAAGGGATAGCCCTGGCACAGGAGGAAGTGTGGCAAGGGGTACGAGAAGCCTTCCCGCCCGCCACACCCAAGGCGATGGCCCGGGGCTCTGCTGCAGCCTGGGCCATCTTCCTCACCACCTGCTTCTCTGAGACAATAGGAAGCGAAGGAGGGCGAGTGCTCCCCACACTCACCAGAGACTTCCACAGCAGCCTCGGGTCTCGCCTTCGCCGCTGACGTTCTCTGTGTTCACAGACTCAGTCTCACTGGTGGGCATGCTAGCTGTGGGGAGAAGAAGGGCTTCAGAGAGCATGCGGGGCACGCTGCATGCCTGGGAGCAGGCCAGGTGGGAGCCTCTGCCACCAGGCAGACCTCTGGAACCCAGGAGGAGGGCGACGAGGGCCCTCAGAGGCTCAGCTGGGCTAAGGGAGTGCCAGGGAGCCAGGCCTCTCCACCGCAGGTGAGCCTCTGTGCCCATGGCCTGTAGGGAAAGCACAGAGTCCCCCTCCAGGAGGACATCCTATCCACCTAGACATTTCCAAGAAAGGAAGCCAAGGGATCAAAGTGAATCCTGTGGCTGGGTATAGCACCACTTTATACTCCTCATCTCTGGGATCACACTGAGAAGCCACCAAAATGTACTTTACAGGTACATCTTTGCTTGCCCCAAAAGGTGCATGTAGGTAACATGCACAACATTTTTTAGAGTTAACAACTCTATTTTTTTTTTTTTTGCTGTTTTACCTGATGCTGAAGTTGTGCTGAGCTTGTGAAGCCAATACGCAGAAAGTTCTTACCCAGTAAGCTGGCCCTAGAGCGCCAAGAAACTAGAGTGTTACGGGTGAGAGAAGAAGGTTTTTATCAACCAGTGAGCAGAGGGCAAGGTTGACTCTGGTTCCAATGCGACTGGGGTCTCTGGGCCCGTCCCACTTCTCCATGGCAGGATCCTGAGCGGAAATGGAGGAAATGGGGAAACACGCCCACTAGAGTGTGGAGGTCCAGGGGCCACCCAGGGCCACCATCTGGTGCATGAGCGTCTTTTCTCATCCACTTGATTCAACCCCATAAACATCATGAACACAGGCTGGAGCCCAGGCAGTGGAGGAGGGTGGGGGCACAAAGAGGGCACATAGCACCCCACCCACCTGGAACAGGGGTGAGGAACAGGCAGCCCCCGGCTCACTTCCATTAGCTGTGAAGAGAGCTACCTCAGGGGTCTGTGCAGGAGGTTCCAGAGTAAAGAATAATTAATTCTGCGGGGGGCAGAGGTAAAAGAGGAAGTCACCGAAGAGAATCCACGTGTACTTCCTTTGTCCTGAGGCATGGCTTTGAACTGTAGTGACTGTTTTTACAGACCGTATGGTGTCAGCAGGAAAGCTTGGCCCGTGGGCTCGACCCATGTGGCTCCCATTAGCAAGGATGCCTCAAGTTTCATCTGCAAATACTGGTAGTGGGTTGGAAGCCCTATGGCAAAGATTCTGAGGCCCAGCCCAGGCTCAGAGGGAAAGGAGCTGTATCAGGCAGCTCTGCGCAGGGGGCTGTGTTCTGCCCAGCTTGCTCATACTAGACTTCATAAAGGTAACAACAGGGATATAGGTGGAACCTGGCTCAAGGAACCCAGTGGTCTGAGAAGTAAGTTTTTTGAGGATACCAAAGAAGATCCCTGATCTGTTCCGCTTGTGAGTGCCCGAGGAACTGAGCCTGCCTGCACGGGAGCTTCCACAGCCATGCCCAGGAACACTGAGGCAAGGGTGTCAAAAGTTAAGACCAAGTGAGTAAAATTATAGACTCATGTTACATCGCTGGTACTCTCATGGAATAATTTTCTTCTCTCCTAAGTCAAAAGAAACCAATTACAAACCTTGATTTACTTTTTCATTATTTCATGCAAAAACAAACAAACAAAAAAACTGGACAAAAACAAACAAAAAACCAAATCTAATCATGGAAAAACCAAAAAAAAAAAAAAACTCCATTAACACACACAGACACACGAGAAGCTATTCATGCAATTCTCCTCGACTATTCCCCACTCTGATTCAGCAGAAAGGCTAGGAGATTGTAAAATCCAACAAAGAAAATCACAGTGGGAGATTCTTTTGACATCTGACCATGTGTCAGTTCTGTGCAGCGTTTTCCTTGGTGGTTACTGCAGTGACTGAGGGGACCAGGAAGCAAGGGCAGTACGATGTGGGGAACCCACAGTCCTGGGTCTGTTTTCTGAGTCTCTTGGGCAATGGGCTGCCTCTCTCCAGCCTTCACTTTCCTGTCTCTAAAATGGTGGTGTGAACTTCACAATCTTGAGGATCATTTCCATCTTTAACAGTTTGCTGTCTCATAGTTCTAATATTAATCATGTTGGAACATTAGTCATTATTTTCAAAAGTCATTATTTCAAACTTCTGAACAGACTAAGTCTTTGTGGCTTTTTAATCTCTGGAGTCGTGTCTCATGCTGGTATCAGTACAGTCGCAGCATTTCAATCCTAAAGCTTCATTTTAAAAACAACCTGATTGAAACAGATAAATTACATATTTTCTATGGGAACGGGGTCATCAGTTAGCATTTCTGGCTCCCTGCCAGCTATTAGTGTATGAAATATTCTAGTTGCTCCCTAGACTAATTGAGGGGAAAGACAAGAAGTAAAACCAAACTCCCCAAACAGCAACAAAGAGGGAAGATAGTCTCGCAGCACTGTGCCAGGGCTCCATTGAGGGCGAGGCAGGGTCCTCCTGCTCTCTGAGCTGACTGTCCTTCAGCTGGGTTGGGATGGTGGCTGACAGCAGGTGCACAGGTTGGCCGGATCTAAGTATAGCCCCGCGTTTGTGACCTGACTTCTGTACACCTCCATTTCCTCATCTGTGAAAGGATAAGAATGAGATGAGGCATGCAGGGTGCTGGGTCCCCAGGGCTCGATGATCATTGAGGCCCACACATGTTAACTCCATCATCTCACAAAAGCTCTCTTGGAGTTCCCCGGAAGCAAAGTGACCAATCTAGTGTCACTTTGCCCTGGCCACTTTCATCATCGCACAGACGAATCTAGTGTGAGCAATCTTCCATACCTCTGAATCAGCTTTGGCTATCACTCTTGGTTTGTATCTTTTTTTTTTTTTAATTATACTTTAAGTTCTAGGGTATATGTGCACAACATGCAAGTTTGTTACATATGTATACATGTGCCATGTTGGTGTGCTGCACCCATTAACTTGTCATTTACATTAGGTATTTCTCCTAATGCTATCCCTCCCCCCTCCCCCGACCCGACAACAGGTCCCAGTGCATGATGTTCCCCTCCCTGTGTCCAAGTGTTCTCATTGTTCAATTCCCACCTATGAGTGAGAACATGCAATGTTTGGTTTTCTGTCCTTGTGATAGTTTGCTGAGAATGATGGTTTCCAGCTGCATCCATGTCCCTGCAAAGGACATGAACTCATCCTTTTTATGGCTGCATAATATTCCATGGTGTATATGTGCCACATTTTCTTAATCCAGTCTGTCATTGATGGACATTTGGGTTGGTTCCAATTCTTTGCTATTGTGAATAGTGCCGCAATAAACATATATGTGCATGTGTCTTTATAGCAGCATGATTTATAATCCTTTGGGTACATACCCAGTAATGGCATGGCTGGGTCAAATGGTATTTCTAGTTCTAGATCCTTGAGGAATCGCCACACTGTCTTCCACAATGGTTGAACTAGTTTACAGTCCCACCAACAGTGTAAAATTAGAAACTTAAATGTTAGACCTAAAACTATAAAAACCCTAGAAGAAAACCTAGGCAGTACCATTCAGGACATAGGCATGGGCAAGGACTTCATGTCTAAAACACCAAAAGCAATGGCAACAAAAGCCAGAATTGACAAATGGGATCTAATTAAACTAAAGAACTTCTGCACAGCAAAAGAAACTACCATCAGAGTGAACAGGCAACCTACAGAATGGGAGAAAATTTTTGCAAACTACTCATCTGACAAAGGGCTAATATCCAGAATCTACAAAGAACTCAAACAAATTTACAAGAAAAAAACAAACAACCCCATCAAAAAGTGGGCAAAGGTTTGTATCTTCTCTGTCTTTAGCTGAGTTATTGTCTAACTTTGCCTTGTGTAGGCATAGCAACTTCTCCTGTCATAGCCGTTTGACACCTAAAGAGCCACAGCACATAAGAAATAAATATATCCCAGAAAGATGTTGCCAGGGTTGAGGAGAAGTGGAGGCAGACGGAAAAGGAAGAGGACAGTGCCTACGCTAGAAATTGGAGACCTCATTTGGTCCTCGAAACAGACCTTGATCCAGCCCCTAAATCTGAGCGAGGAAATATGCTCTGACCGGAGCCCTGGCAGCCTATCTTCTCCAGCTACTTACTCCCTACCACAGGACAGAGAGCGTTCCCTTTTCCAAAAATATTTGAAAAGATCAGGCTCAGTGGCTATAACAAAGACCTTGTTTATTAAAAATAAAACATTTTACCCTTCACTTGCATTAGGCATTCATTTTTTTAATGTTAATAAATTGATACGACTTTCCCTTCTTTTAGTCCCAATAGGATCTCATCTATGTTTTTTAAAAATAAGGACAGAAGAATCACAGACTGTTAGAACCAGAAGGGGCTTCTGAGAGTATATGAACAAACTCTTGATTTCTCAAAGGAGAGAACTGGCCAAAATGCCCTGGGACACGCAGCTGAGACTGAGAGATCTCTCCTGACTTCTGCTCACCGCTCTTTTCAAGTATGTGCGGTGATTTTGGTACATACTTAAATATACTGGTATATATTTTGGTGTTTGATACTTAAAATTCCACAAATCAAAAAGTTCCAAAAAGCCAAACGGGTCTATTACCTACCAGTGCTGGTTTACTATTCTGATGACCTTTATTAACCGCTCAAAATCTGGCATATAACCAGATCACTTACAGGATATCAGCCCAGTGACCGAGGATAGTACAAAAATCAAGCTGTACTGGTGACGACTGGGCTTTTATAAAAATCCAAACAGAAAGAGTCATAAAAACTCATATAGGTGGCCGGGCGCGGTGGCTCACGCCTGTAATCCCAGCACTTTAGGAGGCCGAGGCGGGCGGATCACGAGGTCAGGAGATGGAGACCATCCTGGCTAACACAGTGAAACCCCGTCTCTACTAAAAACGCAAAAAATCAGCCGGGCATGGTGGCAGGTGCCTGTAGTCCCAGCTACTTGGGAGGCTGAGGCAGGAGAATGGCATGAACCCGGGAGGCGGAGCTTGCAGTGAGCCAAGATTGCGCCACTGCACTCCAG